TTATTTATGACAACTATTTTGAATTCTCTGTCATTTCGATTGTAAATTTCTGTCACTTCAGGATTGGTTTTTGGAGACTTGTCATTTTCCTTTTGCTCTGAAGTATTACTGTAATATTTCATGGTGTTTGATGCAATGGTCCTTTGCTGGCGCATTTGTAGTAGTATCAGGTCACAGATTCCACCTGACACCTCTGGGGGTGGGCTGGAGCTGTGTTTTCTGAATCTGCGGCGTCTGCAGGAAGTTGTGCCAGTAGATGTCATCTCCATTTGCCTGCTGGCTGCAGCTGCTTGGCGGGTCACACATGCACGTGCATGCACTCTGGTGTGGGACCGCTGCCTTGGCAGGGGACTAGCCGAGCTGCTGCACTAGGCAGGAGGGCAGGGGTCTTTTCTTTCTCCTGTGCGAGCTGGCTCTGCACTCATGGGTGGTTTGCTTGAGCTGCTGCGCTTGCTGGGTACTCCTTTGCAGCAGTTGATCTGCACTGCTCAGTGGAAAGCGTTCCTTTGGACAGGGCTGCTGTGGCACCATGGGTGCTCCCATGGCTGGGCTGCAACTCTGTAAAGCAAAACCGTTTGCACACAGGCCTGCCTGCCCCCCTGCCTCCTCTTACAGTTGTACACTGGGTGCTGTGTGAGGACCACTGATCTAGATCACTGCTGCCCAGGATGGGGAGGGATCTGCTCACCTCTTTCCACTGCTTTCTGGGGATACAGTTCCCCCACCTTCAGATGTATGGCTGCATGGATCTCTCAGATGTCCTATTGTGCTTTGTAGGGATTCCTCTTTTGGTCAGTGAATGTCCATTTAGTTTTAACTTAGTGGGGAGAGAGTAAGGGAACAACTCGCTCTGCCATGATACTGGTGTCATGTCCCCTTTAAGTGTGTTTTTAAATTTCTATGTATTTATGACTTTTCCATTTTTCTGTTATTGATTTCTAGTTTTTTTCCACTGTGGTCAGAAAATATATTTAGTGTGATTTTCATCTTTTTAAATTTGTTAAGGCTTCTTTTGTGATCTAATGTATGATCTATCCTGGAGAATCTTCCCTGTGCATTTCAGAAAAATGTTTATTCTTCTGCTTTTGGGTGATAAATTCTGCACATGTCTGTTTGGTCCATTTAGTCTATAGTGTTGTTCTGTTCTGCTGTTCCCTTGTTGATTTTCTGTCTGGGTTATCTATCCATTAGATAGAATGATGTTTTGAAGAGTGCTACTATTGTTGAGTTTCTGTCTATTTTCAGTTCATCAATTTTTCGTTCTGTATTTGGGGGCCTTGATGTTATGTGCACATATATTTATATATATATTTATAAGTGTTATATCTGGTCAGTTGACTCCTTTATTATATTATACAATATCCTTCTTTGTCTCTTGTGACAGTTTTTTATTTCTGATCTCTTTTGTCTTGTGTATGTATGGTCACCCCCTGCTATCTTTTGGTTACTGTTTGAATGGAATATCTTTTTCTATCTTTTTACTTTCAGGTTGTGTGTCTTTAGATCTTAAGTGTGTTTATTGTTTACAGCATATAACAGTATCCTATTTTTTTATCCATTAAGCTGGTGTATGTCTTTCCATGGAGAACTTAATCCATTTGGATTTTAAGCATTTACTGTAGGGAGGGATGTATTATTGACATTTTGTTAATTATTTTCTATTTGTCTTGGACCTGTTTTGTCTCTTTTCCTTTTTTGTTTATATTCTGTGTGTTGTTTTGTTTTGTTTTTTGTAGTGAAAATCTTTAATTCTTTTCTCATTTCTTTTTTATACATCTTCCCTAGGTATTTTCTCTGGGGTTACTGTGGGGATTACATAAACTATCCAAAAGTTACAACTGTTTTAAACTGCTAACAACTTAACTTTAATCACATATAAGAACTCTACTCTTTACATCTTCCCCCTACTTTATATTATTCATATCATACATCATGTCTTTTTATATTATGTATTCTTTAACGTAGATTTACAGTTATTTTCAATGCTTAAGTTCTATACCAGAATTAAACAGCATTTATGCACCAACTTTATAGTAATGCAGGATTCTGTATTTGAGTATTTATCTTTACCAGAGAATTTCATATTTTTGTATGCTTTCAATTTGTTATCTCATTTCCAATTGAAGGACTCTTTTAGCATTTCATCTATGGTGGATCTAATGGTGATGAACTCCCTCAGCTTTTTATTTATCTATGAACATCTTAATTTTGCCTTCCTTTTTGAATGAAAGTTTTGCTGGTTCCCTCCCTACCTCCCCACATTTTGAATATCTCATCCCACTCCCTTGTTGCCTGCTAGATTTCTGTTAAGAAAATTACTGATAATCTTAGGGGAGCTACTTTGAATGTGATGGGTCACTTTTCTCTTGATACTTTCAAAATTCTTTGCCTGTGACTTTTGATAGCTTGAGTATGTTTCTCATTCTAGCTTGCTTTGAGTTATCCCAATTGGAGGTTTTTGGGCTTCTTAAATTTATATGTCAATTTTCTTCCTCAAATTTGGGAAGTTTTTGGCTATTATTTAAGTAGACTTTCAGCCCGTTTTCTCCTCTCATTCTGGGACTCCCATATTCATGTATTGGTCCACTCAGTGGTGTCTGATAAATCCATTAGGCTCTCTTCACTTATTTTCATTCTTTTTTTTTCCCCCGTAACTCGATAATTTCAAATGACTTGTCTTCAGTTTCACTGATTCTTTATTATGCTTGATACAGTATGATGTTGATCCCCTTTAGTGAATTTTTCAATTCAGTTATTGTATTCTTCAGCTCCAGAATTTTGTTGGTTCTATTTTAAAGTTTCTCTTGTTAATATTCTCATTTTCTTCGTACATCATTTTCCTAATTTCATTTAGTTTTCTGCGTTCTCTTTTATCTCATTGAGCATCATAATGTTGGTTATTTTGAATTCTTTGTTGGGAAATTCATAGATCTTTGTTTCTTTAGGTTCCATTTCTGGAGCTTTATTTCTTTATTGGGTTCCATTTCTGTTTTTTTGTAAGTCTAGTTCTCTTTTGTTGAAATTTGGGCATTTGAAAAAATAGCCACCTCTCCCTGTCTCTTCTGATTATCTTTGTACAGAGGAAGACCTTCCTTAGTCAGCCCAGGTAGATACTCTGGAGACCTTTCAAACCTTTTTTAGGGATGCATCTTCTGTGAGCTTGTGCATGTAATCTCCCATCTGAAGAGGTTTGTCTGTTTCTACTCAGGAGCTCCCCCATGGTATCTGTCTGTCATATTACAGTCTTGATTTTGCAAGCTGTGGTTTTGGGGGTCTCCCTGCTGTCTGTCTATGTTGCTGTAATTTTTCTGGTGCTGTACCAAGCCGATAGGCTCACCTTCATTCTCATCAAGCCCAAAGACATTCAACATGTGCTGCTTCTTCCAAGTCAGATGAGACAGAAACCAGTGCCTTGGGTAGTCCCCCGGAAAGCCAGAATGTTGCACACAAGTCCCACTCTTCTCTTTCCTTCCTGAAGGAGAAGCCACAAGTGGGGAATTTTCTCTTGATTGTGGTGTACTGTTCTGGGAAGGGGATGGGGTTTGGCAGGTAAGTGCAACAGACTTTCTTGCTCACTACAGTGCACTGCTTCTTGGCTTTGTTCTCACTTGGAGTGCTATAACCTCTTAGTTGGTTTCTGGAATTCTTACAAAGGAAATTTGCTCTGTGTATTGTTAAGTCATTGTCTCCATGAAGGAGGGGATGTGGGGCTTCCTATTCTGCTATCTTGCTGATGTTACAACATACTGTAGTGTTTAAGGTCCTCTACCTTATGACTCAACTCCAGGTTCTAAGCCAGTTGTATTTATTTATTTATTATGCTTTTACTCCTCTTTTTGTTTTTCTCCCTGAAAGATTCTTTACCTTAATCTTAACTATTTTGAATGTACTAATTACTCAAAACCTATTTGAAGATGCATTCTTTTCCCCAAAAACGTTTTTTTAAACTTTTCCTATTGACACTACACTGTTATTTTAATTTGTTTTTCTATTTGTTTCAAATGTCTTTGTGTCCACAGTCAGATTTTAAGCAGCTTCAGAACAGTTTTTCTTAATTCTATCTTTTTTCTCCTCTACACACATAACTAATACAATGCTATACTTGTTGGTTAAAATTGTCCTTTTGTCCCGTAAAAATAAGCAAGATGTATTTGTTGTTGAGAAGAGAAGAGTGATTAGTGGCATCTGCTTGATGTGATCCTAAGCAACTTATCACCTTTGGTTTAACATGTAGTATTATTACACTTAATTAAATCTGGAGTGGAGTTATTTGTTTTTCTCAATTAGTGAAATGAATTGAGATGGTGTCATTAATGAAAGGCCTAAGTTATGGTAATTAACATGTAGATATTATAATTCCATTTCTATATTCCCTGTTTTTTGGGGGGAAAAGGCTGAAGTTAGTTGATGTTTAAGTTTAGAATTGAGACATCTTTTTATGAAATTAAAAGTCACGTAGTGGCAAGTAGTTAGTTTTTAAACAAAAATCATTAAAATAATTTTGAGGATTTTGGTTTGAGACCTAAGACACCACTTTATCAGTAATCAACTACTTCTCGGGAAGAAGAAATATGTTCCCTGTTTGTTGAGTTTCTCATGGTAATCTGGTGCCTGCTATGCCTGATATATAGTAGGCATTCACTAGATATTTATTGACTGAGTTTGTCTAGTTATTCTTTAGATTCATATTGTTAATGTTTATTGAACCCTTAAAACATGTAAGGCATTTTCACATTCTTTATTTTACTCATCTCAAAAAGGTATAAGAATTATTATATTCATCTTTTGTATGGTAAGCAGTTGTTTCAGTAGAATAAGTGATTTGCTTAAAGCGTAACTCACAAGTGGCAATGCCAAGATTCAAATTCTTGTCTCAAGTAGTAATATTTTGCATAATATTATAGAAGTAACAGATTGTTTATTGACAGAGGATTAAAAGTTTTATCTTCAAAGATTCATGTATATTAGGTTTTATTTTACCTTGTATTTTTCTCCCCCAGAATCCACCAAACCCACCTGTATCACCAGGAAAGTCTGTAGTTGATGTCAACAGCAATAACAGTGTGCCCTACAGGTGAGAATTGTGAACAGTCTGTGTGTCGTTTTTTTTTTTTTTTCTTTATTTCTTTTTGATCTTCCCCTCTTTTTCTGCCATCTCTGTTTTGTTTTTTTGTTTTTCTAAATTCAATTTACTTAAACTTAAAAATAAAAAGCAAAAACAGTTCACTCATTTCTCCCATCTCCCACCTCCCACCTCTGGCAACTACCAGTCTGATCTCTGTATCTATGAGCTTGGCCTATTTATTTATTTTTAGATTCCTCGTTTAAGAGAGATCATATGGTATTTGTCTTTCTCTGTCTGACTAATTTAACTTGGCATAATGCCCTTGAGGTCCATCTATGTTGTTGCCAGTGGCAAGATTTTGTTCTTTTTTATGGCTGAATAATAAATGTTCCTTTATATTTTTATATATATATACACACACACACACACCACAGTTTCTTTATCCACTCATCCATCGATGGACAATTAGGTTACTTTCATACCTTTACTATTGTAAACAATGCTCCAGTAAACATGGGATTGCATTTCAAATTAGTATTTTTTTTTCTTTGGATAAACACCCAGAAGTGGAATTGCTAATCATATCATGATTTTATCTTTAATTTTTTGAGGAATCTCCATACTGTTTTCCATAGTGGTTGCACCAATTTACACTCTCCACCAACAGTGCACAAGGGCTTTAAATAACAAGTATGTCAAGTTTTTAAATAACAGAACAAGGTTTTGACTTTCTTTATTTTGCATAAAAATCTTGGAACGTAGTCCTATGTATTTATGTAGAGATATATGTTTGATATACTAGACTAAGTATATTTCCTTGTTTTTGCTTTGTTATAATTCTTCATCTGTGGATATTGGTTTTGCTAATTATTATAAGGCTTTCTTTGGTCATTGCAGATTTCTTTAACCACTTGTACTAGATAGTATACTCACAAGTAATTGACAAATGCTTTGGTCAGGGGTGATAAAAACTAATGTCTGCAGATAGTAGGACCTACATTTGGTTTGCAGGTAAAAGTATTGAAGACATTAGAATATAAGAAGAAAACTCTTCCCTAATTCAGTCTGTGTGCCAGCTTTGCCTCAGTACATTCACTGAAGTTTAGCACTATAATTCCCAAGTCTAACCTGTCTTATTCCTATGAACCACTGCTTTCTTTATACATAAATTGATGTCCCCTAGAATGGCATATCCGTTGACTATTTGTCTGTATAAATTTTATAGAAATGTAACCACAGTGAGACAGATGCTGGAGTCCAAAAGAAATGTAAGCGAGAGTGCACCGCCATCCTTTCAAACCCCTGTGAATACAGGTAATACTCTTTAACACTGAAATACATTTTCTTAGGAATTGAAGGCTTTGGTTCTCTTTTCTTACATTCTTTTGAGGTTGAAATTGACTAAGAAACTGAGCATATTGGTCTAAAATTGAGCGCTAAGTACAAACTTTTATTAAAAACTCAGGATTACAGATATGCATAAAAGTATAGAAATTCTTGGGGGCCGGCCTGGTGGCACAAGTGGTTAAGTACACTTGCTCCGCTGCGGCGGCCTGGGGTCACTGGTTCGGATCCCAGGCGCGCACCGACGCACCACTTGTCAAGCCATGCTGTGACAGCGTCCCATATAAAGTAGAGGAAGATGGGCATGGATGTTAGCCCAAGGCCAGTCTTCCTCAGCAAAAAAAAAAGAGGATTGGCAGATGATAGCTCAGGGTGGATCTTCCTCACAAAAAAAAAGTATAGAAATTCAAATCTCTACTATTGTGGTTCCTAAACTTTCTGATCTCAATATCCCTATATAAACTTAAAAATGATTAAGAACCCTCAAAAGCTTTTGTTTACGTGGGTTATATTAATTGATACTAGTAAAAATTAAAGTAGTACAAGTTAAAACAACGTTTTTAAATATTTATTTATTCATTTAAGAATAATATTTAAAAAACTCATATAATACAAATAACATGTTTTAATGAAAAACAACTCTTTTCCAAGCTTAATAAAAATTAATGAAAAGAGTGTTATTGTCTTACATAAATATCTTACATTGCAGTCTCTTGCAATTTGTTGTTTTGGTATATGCAATTTGAAGTATATGAAGAAAACTCAGCCTCATACAAATATGTAGCTGGAAAAGGGTTAGCACTGTTAGAGAATTGTGGATATTTTTCTTCAACACAATCAACTTGCAGTTTATTAAAGGTTTGTTGCAAAGTGGAATTTGAGAACCATACCAATGAACTTTTCTAATTTTTTAATTAAATACATTCATCTGTCTTGTACTTGGATGTATCTTTTACTAATATCATTCATAGATCATTTGGAAAATATTCACTGACTTATCTAAATCTTCCAAATGTTGACACATCTCATCAATTTTTCTAAAGAATCACATTCATTTGTTTGACTATCGATTCTTCTCAGAAAAGTCTTTAAAGATTTGGGAAACTGTCATGCTCTCAGTGGCAGATGTAAGTTTTTTCCAAAGTTCTAATTTTTGTTTTTAAAACTTGAATTTTTTCATTGTCAGTAAGTACTGTTGGTTGTTTTTTTTTTTTGAAGTGACTGCTTTATTTGGTTTGTTTTTAAGAAAAGATTCGCTAAATACCCAAGTGTGAACCCCCAACCACAGTGTGTCTGTTAAGTCATTCTTTCAAGTAAAAATGGTCTTGTATAAAAAAGGCTCTTTGGGCCGGCCCCGTGGCTTAGTGGTTAAGTGCGCGCGCGCTCTGCTGCTGGCGGCCCGGGTTTGGATCCCGGGCGCGCACCGTGGCACTGCTTCTCTGGCCATGCTGAGGCCACGTCCCACATACAGCAACTAGAAGGATGTGCAGCTATGACATACAGCTATCTACTGGGGCTTTGGGGGGAAAAAGAATAAATAAATAAAATCTTTAAAAAAAAAAGGCTCTTAGCTCAGCTTACAACTTAAACAATTGTACAAGGCCTTTTTCTTGAGCCAGCCATTCTACTTTGGCTTGCAGCAGTAATGCTCTGTGAAAGTGTGCTTCCTTTGTCTTCACATAGAATATTAAGAAGACCTATACTCAAGGGTTGAGATTTAGTGAATTAATAGTTTTTACTACTTCATCATGAACATGCTTACGTGAAACTGATTTTGTTTGTTTTTCACTATGAACATGTGGTGGTAAAGAGGGCAGTGATAGTTTGGTACCACTGCCTTGATTTTTGTACTGAAGCGTCAGATGTTTTACTCACCATTGCTTTTTCTCTATCCCTACAAATATCTACATGGTCAAAAAGTCAAATAATCTCTTATTTTTGTTAATAAAATAGTTCTGACATTGCAGACTCCCTGAAAGGATCTCAGTAACCTCCCCATATCTCCCTAGACCACACTTTGAGAATTGCTGCTCTAGCGTGCCTTTGATTTTTGGAAAGACTACAAATCAGTGAGAAAGAAACTTGGTCATCGATTTCAAACCTGTTCAAATGAGAATAGAAACAAATCGTTGTCCCAAAATTACTGTAAAACTCCAGTGACCAGCAGTTTTATTTTCTCTGATCTTTGGTCTGCTTCCTTATTTCTTAATTTGTCTCCCATCTTCATTCTGCTATTTTCCACATTTTATAATGTCAGTAGCATGTCAGAAGAGCCAGCCTCTCCTCACTGGTTCCTGTCCCAGGCAATTCAATAAGACTTGATCCAGATTCAGGTTTCACATGGTCCAAATGATAAAATACCATGACACAGCATACGTGTTATTCACTAATAGTGATGACTACTAGATTTTCTATTTGAGTTTATCTATTGCCAGTATCCTAAAGGATTTATCAAGTTTTTAGTGTAGTTTCAAAAATATCTATAAAGTTTTACCAAGTTTTCAGTGTTTTTTAATTGTTTTTCCAGTTAGTTACTCTGAAGTGATTATAGTAATTTTCAGAGACTGTTTTGATACTGAGATAGCAGTTCTCCATATTAATCATAAAATGTGATATTTTCATAATGTACCAAAAATAGATATAAAAATGTTTCTATAGATTTAATTCTAAGAATTTCCAGAATTTAAATCTGGAAGAAATTTCATTATGAAAGATGGTACTGTATCTACTGTAATGCATTAAATTTGTATCGTGTTATATTATCCTGCTGATAAGTGAACATAGACGTTTAAACTGAGACTTCTTCTTTCTTTCTATAGTATCTTCAACCAATCTTGTCACTCCTCCAGCAGTTGTCAGTAGTCAACCTAAACTGCAGACTCCAGTGACTTCCAGTTCTCTGACAGCAACGTCAGTTCTTCCTGCACCCAACACAGCTACAGTAGTTGCTACTACTCAGGTGCCTAGTGGAAATCCCCAACCTACAATTTCTTTACAGCCTTTACCAGTGATTTTGCATGTACCTGTTGCGGTATCCTCCCAGCCTCAGCTCCTACAGAGCCATCCAGGGACTTTAGTGACCAATCAACCATCTGGCAACGTTGAATTCATTTCTGTACAAAGCCCACCTACAGTGAGTGGTCTTACCAAAAATCCAGTCTCCTTGCCATCTTTGCCAAACCCTACTAAACCAAACAACGTTCCTTCTGTGCCCAGTCCTAGTATTCAAAGGAACTCTCCTGCCAGTGCTGCACCGTTAGGAACAACACTTGCTGTACAGGCTGTTCCAACAGCACACTCTATTGTACAAGCCACAAGGACTTCTTTACCCACAGTAGGCCCATCGGGACTCTATAGTCCATCAAATAATCGAGGTCCTATACAGATGAAAATTCCAATTTCTGCTTTTAATACTTCATCTTCGGCAGAACAGAGCAGCCCTACTACCCCAAGAATTGGTAAGTCACTATGTAGGTTTAATAATGAAAATGCAAACATGTTAATGGCCTATAGATAATTGAACTTTTGTGTGTATGTGTGTGGAAGTGGCTAGCGTTACTGAAAGAACTAAATAGAATATCCTGGAGATTATTTTTAGTAAGTTTTTGGTTGCCTAAGAAATGATGTTATTAAAATGGGATTTGAAAGAGTTTATTTGAGTGAGAAGTTGGCATTTATAATTTATCTTTTAGTAATTTTCCTAATCTGGGTGAATTTTTCATTTAGGCTTTGTAGCAAGCATTATGAGTTACTTTTATAATACATTTGTCAGGAATATCTGAATAGAGCAAATTTATTTTAAAGTATCTAGTTGACATAACATATGTTTATAAGTGGAAAATAAAAACCGATATCTTCCCTAACCATTTGGAAAAATCCTTTGTACGTTCATCACTCACATTTTCCATATTTGAACAGTTTTAGTCCCTCTTTAATTTACTACAAAGTGTTTGATTACTTCTTGTTTTCTCATTTGTATATTTTCCCTTCTGTTTGTATGTATCTATATACTTCGAATTATTCCAAAAAGGGGAACTTGATTGTACTTGTGTTTAAAATCTGTAAAACTCTGTATCTTCCTGGTTCTTAGAAAGTGTACATTTTGCATGCATTCTTGAACGTGCTATTCTTCATTTCTGACTTCACATTTATCGCCATAACTTTTGAAAAGACAGGCAAGAAAGGGTAGACATCAAGTGTATAGTGAAATTGCTGCAGTATCTGTTTTATTGATATAGTAAGTGACCATGAAATATAAGAAACAGATTCTAAAGTACAAAGTTACTTTCATACGTGAGATATACAAGCCTTGTTTTTTTTTTTTAATTTCTCATGCAGCCATTAGTAGTGTACTTGCCCTGTGAGTGTATTTTCTTATATAAAGTGGTGATGATATTTCACAGAATTGTTGAGAGAGTAAATGAGTGGCAGATCAGTATTAATATTGGACTGAAGCTGAGTCTCACCCTCATACAATTAACATCTGGGATATAAGAGTAAATCTGAAATTTTATATAAAAATGCAATTACTATTAATATTAGTATTTAAAATTTAAATGTTTGCACAATACAATAGCAGTATTTTTTAGCATTATCTACTATCACATTATTCCTCAGACACTCTAATTCATGTTTACAACACTAAAAGATGCTTATTTTTAATTGAGGTTAGTGATCGAGCAAGATTTTGAGTGATTACTTCATTTTTCTCTAATTTCTTTTTTTTCTAATCCTTAGTATTTTTTAATATGTCAGGTAGAAGATTTATCGTGGACATTGTTTTATGTGATTTTGGAGCTTTTCCTCTTTCTGAAATATCGAGCCTAAGTTGACATTGTTTTTAATTCACAGTCACAAGATAAGATATATTCTTAAATATAGAACTTTTCTTGAAAGACCATGGCCTGAAAAGAAAGAAATAAAAGATTTTGTTTAATGTTATGAATGCTAGTACCTTAAATACTTCTACAAATATCAAATTATAATGTAATTTCATTGTTCTGTTTTCAAAATTTTTATGAACTTTGTTGACATACAGGGTATATTTTTCCCAAAGTTATCTAGCTAATGCGCTAGTCATAATAAGTGTCAGTCTGTTTTGTATTTATTTATTACTTGATTATTCTTAATTATTTTTGTATGTAAATTAAGGTTTCACAATCATTATTAATTAGTACATTATTCTACTTCTGTAATAATTTACATTTATACATACACTTAAAATTTTATATTTTAGCATATTTATGTAACACATTTATATGTACTTTAATATATAAATTACATTAAGGAGATCTTCAAGTTCTATTTAGAATGCTTACCTACATTTGAAAGTAAATTATTAGGTATTAACCATAAATGTGAATGACAGGCTTTGTTTGTGTGTTGTTCATAATGTTAATTAGAATGAGATCCTATGAGATAATATGTTCTTTGATCCTGTATAATTTCAGGGGTGCCATAAATGACATTAAAGTAGGCATTTAGTTATTTAGGCTTCCCAAAACCTAAGCTGAAGCCAGATAGCAAATTTTAGCTGAATATAAAGGTTGAAGCCAAACTTTTAATACATCCCTAATGTGATAAATTACTTAGTTATATAATTACAGTTTTTTAAGTCCTATACTTATGTAGGTATTATTGACTTAATGAGAACATATGCTGTCTAGACCTCATGCATTTGTATATATTTTATTATAGATCATATATCCCCACTTAGTAAGTCAGTCTTTTATGTCTATTGTAAAGTAAAAATCATCCCAGAGACCACTTGGAAGTTTAGGGCTTAAATTATAGCTAATTCCATTCATTCATGAAATATTGAATGTGCCTGTATTGTTCTAAAATCCTGCAGACACAGAAATGTACAAAATAGTTGCTATTCTCACCAAGTTCACAATGAATTAGGGAACTTGGCAGTTAAATAAGTAATTAATTATAAATATAATGAATATTAATATATGTAGGTTTCTGTGAGAGGATATGGGAGATCTGGAAAGATAAGAGATAATGAATGGAAAGATGGTGGGAAATCAGGTTAAAGGATTTTTGCAGAGAGGAGTGTGACATTCATGAACACTGGCTGTAGTGAGGGGAATGGTTTGGAGGGGATAAAAATGGAGTTAGGGAGACCAGGTAGGAGGCTCTTGTAGTGATTTAGATGAGAAGGTAGTGTTGTAAAAATGATGTACAAATTTTACATTCCATTCTTTTTCATACAACAATTATCCAGCACCTACTAAGGGACATTATTAATTGGCACTCCTGTAAAAAACCCTTTTATGACTCTGGTAAAAATGCAGTGTAGGTTAAAAGTGACAATGTCTTTTAAGAATAATGAGATAGAGATGTTTCCCAAATGGTAGAAAGATTTTGAGGTACGATTTCTGATTTCATACCCTGACCAGTTTTATTGACTGATAGATTGATATATAACTTTTTACTTTCAGACGTCATCTAAAGTAGATATTATAGTAAAAGAGAACAAAAAGGATGCAGTGAAACTGTAAAATGTTACATTAAGAACCAAGAAAAATGTCTGTAATAAAGGGGCAGGGGGTGTTAAGTGAAAATCTAGATTAAGGAGTATTATTATAGTTCTCTGAATAATTAAGTCTTAGCCCTGAGACAGATCAAAGAGAGAATCATACTGGATAACAAATCTCTCATAGTTATTTAAAAATTATATATATATATATATATATATATTTGTGTGTGCATATGTGTGTGTATAAGAATATGTATATATATGACATTTTATTAGGCAGTCTAAATCTTTCCTGAATCTTGAGGCGTTTTATGTATGAGGATATTTCAACAGAAAATAAAAATGAAGCTCCCTCAACTACTTTTCATCTGAGGTTACCTTTTATTTTCATTTGAAAATGAAAATGAGTTTCAAATCCAAATGAGTGTATTCTAATATTGTATATAAAAAACTTTGGTAGTAAATCACTGATGTTTTGGTAATGTCATCAGTGTATTTTAATACCCTACTATGTAGGATCAGTAACCTGGAATTAGTTTTTTATTAAGTAGTATTTTAGGAACTTCACAGTCCAAAACATGCTGATTCATTATAAATGAAGTAATTTTAAGATTTTTTTTTAAAAAGTAAATAATATCTTAATATATTCTTCCTACAAGAAGAGCTAAGATAATTCAGATAGGGAAAAGTTTAAGGGCCTCATCTATTTCCCTAGCCTGGAAAAACTATTTTTTAACAGGTAGATGTTTATCTTGATTTTTTTGATGTACAGGTTTATATATGTATATGTGGAAATACATTGTTCTATCTCCTGTTTTTTATTTTTATTTTTTTGTGAGGAAGATCAGCCCTGAGCTAACATCCATGCTAATCCTCCTCTTTTTGCTGAGGAAGATTGGCCCTGAGCTGACATTTATTGCCAATCCTCCTCCTTTTTTTCCCTCTCTTTTCTCCCCAAAGCCCCAGTAGATAGTTGTACATCATAGTTTCACATCCTTTTAGTTGCTGTATGTGGGACGCCACCTCAGCATGGCCGGAGAAGCGGTGCGTCGGTGCGCGCCCAAGATCCGAACCCACGCCGCCAGTAGCAGAGCGTGCACACTTAACCACTATGCCACGGGGCTGGCCCCTCTCCTGTTTGTTTTTGTTTTTTTTTTAAGATAAATGGTTTACTCTATGTGTTTTGAAGATTTACAAATGAAGAGAATGCCGTACTTTTACCAAAAAGGTTTTTATCTACAGAAAGCAAGGATGAGATGTTTCAATATTAGAAAACTCCTGTTAATGTAATTCACTACATTACCAAAGAGGAAAAGCTAAATAATTACCTCAGCAGATGCTAAAGACATCTGATGAAATTTAATACTTTCTCTTAGAAACTGAGGCAGAAAAACATACTTGGTTTATTTTCTGTGCTGTTCCAGAAGTAACTTTCATATGGATGTATGTATGTTGTATATGTGTGTGTGTGTACCATGAACTCAGTACAGTTTAGTTGAAAAATGATTAAAAAAAGAAAAATCATCTGTGATTGAACTGAGATTATGCCTGTATATTTTCTCAGAATCACTCAGAATTACAAAATGTTTGTAACTATTTTTCTAATGAATTTATTACATTTTTGCTATGTCATTAAATTTTTTTCTCTAAAAGTATATAGTGTGGAAGAATTATATTTTATTTAACCATTCACTCATGTTAGAACATTTAAGTTATGTACATCTTAAATTATTCCCTGAGATATTCCTTAGAATAGAGTTAAAGTTTCTGGGTCAATGGGTATGTGAAATTTTTTGATCCTTGTTTTGATTTGCCCTTTCGAAAGCTTTTATAACAGTGGTCTGTGAAAGAGTCCATTTACGTATGTGACATGTTGACAGGCAAAAAGAAGAACTGGAGAAAATTATATGAATTATTGTATATAAAGCAAGCCAACCTTTCACATTTTGTAGGTGCTTTTAAAAATGACTCTGACTTTTTTTTTTGACTCCTCAGAAAACCAGACAAGCAAAACAATAGATGCTTCTATTAATAAGAAAGCAGCTGATAGCACATCACAGGTAAGATTTTTACTTCTGTTTCAAAGTAAAATTTTAATTACAATCCACAAGAGAATGGTTTTCCATCAATATTGTTTGATACAATGAAAGTTATTCTATGTCTATTTTTTACAACTGTCCAAAGATTTTGAAAGAGCTTCTCTGCAACATTTGAGAAGAATTGAGTTTCTTTGCTTAGTAATTCTCTCAGAGATAATATTAGTTTATTAGATTAACTAAGTGCTTGGATTATATAATTGACAGTCTAGTTATTTGCCTTCATATAGTGTAAAGATTCAGTCTGCACATGTAACGTCCTTCTGGCCCATCTTGTTAAGAGGGTCTCACTGGCTTACCCCCTACCCCCCAACACATATACAGAGACACCATTTTAGTTTCTTCAAAGCTGATTAGAAATAGCTTTTTGGAAGAAAATCTTGGTCTTTCTGATAGCTTATTAACACTTTGCCAGTCTTGGTACTTGTTCATGTTACATCTTAATCACCCAGGCATGGAGTAGCTACTTTTTTCCTATGTTAACAATGTTCTTCCTTCTTCTTTCCCTGTATAGCTTTAGATGTAATAGATTTATAGCGAAGTCATTAGGTTGTTGATAGTTTTATTATATTTTCTTCTCATCCTCTTAATCATTTCAAGAAACTCATATATTTTTCCTAGAAAAACAAAAAGTCTTGAATAAGCCAGGCATGAATAAATGACATAAATTTTAAAACAAAGGCATAATAATCTTTAATTATGTCTGTTTTCCTTTAAAATGGACCTTTGACCAAAGCTAGATATACACCATGGTTTATAGATCAAATTAAAGCTGTTAGAAATATTTTATTTCTTACAAATTTTAGCAATCTTTATATATGATATTAAACTTCAAAGTTGTGATTGTTTCTGAGGATGTCTTATGTATTATAGCTATGTTTCAATTAAAAGTAATGGAGTACTTTGCTTTCTGAAAGACGTGGTATAGAAAATGTTAATATATTCAGTGATTTTTATGTGATATTTATAGGAATTCTAGCTTTACTTTATAAAGTAAACGTAAACGAACAATTTACAAACATCTTTATTTCTCTCAGTGATATTTTTGTTTGGACAAGCTAAGTAACATTTTCAGGACAGGAAAATGGACATTATAATGGTGTTTCCTCATCTTATAAATGGTGAAAGAGTGATAGAAATGGTGATAGAGTTAGAAATACTGTCTAATAGGGTAGCCACTAGTAATGTGTAGCTATTCAAATTACAATTAAGTATTACTTCCTTTGCCATAGTAGCCCCATTTCAATAGCCACATGTGGCTAGTGACTACCATATTGGAAAAGACAGATACAGAACATTTTCATCCTTGTAAAAGGTTATATTGGGTTGCTGAAATGCAGTGTATGTAATATCATAAACATTTAAGTGAAATTAAAATTGATATAAAAGTTGCTCTACTTTTAAAATTCATGAAAAATAATCAAATAAAATAATATAAAATCCAATTATACCCAACTGCTTATTATATTCTAGAAAATCTAAAACATCATGTACTACTTCACACATCATAGGTTTTAGAATCTAAAATATTTTACTTTACATTGTACTGTATAACTGACATATTTGATAAAACAACTTGTACCAATCAATCCAAAAGTCACCTGAAACAGTAAGTAACTGCATCAGACAGCAAAAAGACAGTACAACCAAATATTAAGCTCTTAATGGATATTTTATTTGGCTTAGAGGAAGAGGAATTCAGTACCATCTTATGAAAAACATACAAGCAGTTTGACTAGGCAGCTAACCTGTGAAAGTAATGCCTTGTCAAAAATAGCAAAGTTTCAGCTTTGAACAAGTGCTAGTTATGAATGTGAATAATAAATATAATATGCAAGTTTTATTATATAATGAGAAACCATTATGGAAATATACATGTGCCGCCAATTATAAATCCACGTTTTGCTAGTTTGACTTTTGTGGTACAAATATAATTTGTCATTGTGCTGAATATCTTCATTAATGTCATGCTATTGGTCTTTTGAAGATATATTAAGAAATTACATACTAGCTTTCTACCCAATATGTCACTTACTAGCAAATAGAAAGTAATGTGAAATAGGTAGACTGTGATTTTTTAGAATGTCACTTTCTAAGTACACGTGGCTAACTTCTTTTTTCTGTGCCAAATCTTACTTAGTTGTACTTCTGAATGCTTTAAGGCTAGCATAGATTAAGAGGAATCTTGGATGGCTTGTATGGAAATGATTGTTGTTCAGTCATACCTAATTAGGAAATAATTAAATATGTAAACTATTTTTTTTGTGGTCCTTGAATGAAGATTTCTCAGATGTCCCCCAAATAAGTATTTATTAGCATATTTCATATAATGAATTATTATTACATATTTTATCCATATATTTCATATGTACATTATTAATATATTTCATATGGTGAAAAGTAAACTTATTAATTTATTTAAATTATCAGCATACATTGTAAAACAGCGTGGCATTCTTTTTATGCTTCTATCTGTAGTTATATTGCTGTTTGAGGAACTCAGGCTCACCCTCAAGGTTGCCGATTTGTTAGAAGGACTTATAAGACCCATAGCAGGTTATACTCATGGTTATGGTTTACACAGCAAAAACGTAGAGAGCGAAAACAACAGGAAAAAGATATGTACCAAGTGGCGTTCAGAGAGGTCAGGCACAGGCTTCTAAATCCTCCCCTGGAGGATTGCACAGGATGTGCTTTCTCTCTGGTTATTAACTGCAGGGACATGTGCCAAGAATCTCTGCCCAGAGAAGCCTGTTTGAGTCTCAAGGTCAGAGGTATTTTAGAGGGCTGGTCATATAGCCACGTCTTTCTGCGTAACCAATCATGGCAGTCACAACTCAGGACCCCAGCAGTGAAGCCACGTGTACATCATCAATCTTAATGTTTGTGCACATCAATCCTGACAAGCCAGTATGACATAGTCCATTATTCAACTTATGCATAAGAAAATTGCAAATCGTTAATGTAAACTTTCCAAGGGCTGCATTCCTAGTAGCTAACCAATCCTCTATTATAGTTTCAAATTCCCTTGGAGAGATGTGCAGGGAGTGGACAACCAGGTCTTCTGTGTTAACTTTCTTTGCAATTGTTGAAGTGCTCTACTCTAGCCTTTCAAATATGTTCTTGTTATTTGTTTCACTACAAAAAGAAAAAACCTACAAAGCCAATATCTTTGCTCTCTTGAAATTTTCTTAGTGTTCACCTAATGAGAGTGGCCATTGGAGAATGACACATGATTAGATAACTTTTTAATAAAATAAGTTCTTCGTACAGTCATGCATCGTTTAACAATGGGAATATGTTCTGAGAAATGCATTGTTAGGCGGTTCCATTGTTGGATGGTTTCATCGTTGTGTGAGCGTCATAGAGTGTACTTACACAAACCTAGATGGTATAGCCTACTATACACCTAGGCTTTGTGGTACTAATCTCATGGGACCACTGTCATATATGTGGTCTGTCATTGACCAAAACATCATTATGTGGTGCATGACTGTATTAAAACCTATTTGACACAACTTTTTTTTTTTGGATGGTTTCAAGTTGAGAACTTCAGTAATATGTGTAAATGCAGATATAAACATGTGATGTCTCTGATTAGATAAGTATTCTCAGAAATAATGTCAGAAAAAATGTAAAGATACATAGATATGTATATGTGTCTGTTTATGAATCTGCACCTAGTGGCATAGAAATAATCCTAGCTCTAGAGTCAGACAACCTGGCTCCTGTCACTTAATAGTGGGTAACCTTTGGGCAAGTTATTTAACGCCTTAGACTTCTCACTTTTAAAATGTAGCTAATGCTGGTACTCATCTCATAGGATTATTATAAAGATTAAATTTGTTAATGAATATAAAAGATTTATCACAGAGCCTGATAGGAATAATGCTGGCTATCATGATTATCTTATAATTGCTATTAATACCTATTGAAATAATTACCAATTTTATTTCTCAGGAAGAAAATATAGCCAGGAAACTACCTGTAGTATATGATAATAGATATATTAGTTAGGTTATGATCAAGAAAAATAGAATTCAATAGATTAGATCATTGATTGTAGACCTTTTTGTCCTATTATACATTATACATTATAGAAAAATGTGCACTTTTATAATAGAACATCAAAACATGAAATGAAAACAACAAAATTAATGGGAGAATAGACAAATTGACCCTTTTACCATTATTAAAGTTTCCTTCTTTGTGTCTCATCAATATTAACATCGTCACGGCAGCTTTTTTGTGCTTACTTTTTTTCAGTCTGTTTGTATCCTTGTATTTAAAGTGAGTATCTAGGAGAAAAAATAGTTATTTCTTGCTGTGTTATCCCAAATAACAATCCCTACATTTTGATAGGAAATTTCAGTCCATTTGCAGTTAGTATAATTATTAATATGGTTGTATTTAGGTCTGCTGTCTTGTAATTTTAAAAATTTGTTTCATCTTTTTTTGTGTGTGTGCTTTTTTCCTACTTTGTGTTAACCTTTTTATTTCTTTTTAAGTCTTCTATCTTAATGCTTCTGTTGCTTTTCTAGCTGTATGGGTATTACATGTTTTTTTTTAGGGTTTGCTCTAGGGTTTACCATATGTATGTAAATTGTAAAGTTATTTCATTATTCTTAGAGTTAATATTGAATGAATTAGTGGCTTGCCACTGTATATTTATATATACCCCCTACTGCTCTTCATTTTCTTATTACATTCTTGTTTCCATATGTATTATGGTCTTACTTTCACATATATTGAATATGTGAAATAGCATATGTAGATGCTACAGATCTATACATTTGTTTTTAACTTTTGCCTTAGAATGTCATATGTCTTTTAAAGAAATTAAGGAAAGATATATTGTCTTTATGGGGCCGGCCTGGTGGCATAGCGGTTAAGTGCGTGCACTCTGCTTCAGCGGCCCAGGGTTCGCAGGTTCGGATCCCAGGCGCGCACAGACACACCGCTTGTCAAGCCATGCTGTGGTGGCGTCCCATATAAAGTAGAGGAAGATGGGCATGGATGTTAGCCCAGGGCCAATCTTCCTTGGCAAAAAGAGGAGGATTGGCATTGGAAGTTAGCTCAGGGCTGACCTTCCTCACAAAAAGAAAAGAAAAGATATATTGTCTTTAATATTTATCCTCATATTTACTTTTTTGGTTCCCGTTATTTTCTGTAAATCTGAGTTGGCATTTCCTTTCAAACTGTAGAATTTTCTTACAGTGTAGATCTGCTAGTGATGAGTTCTCATTTTTTGTATATCTAAAAAATGTACTTTTTTCTGTTTAGCCTTCTTTTTTCAAGGATAGCTTTATTGTATATAGAATTCTTAGTTTATAGGTTTTAAAAAAATTATCAGCCCTTTGAGTATATTGTTTAAATGTTTTCTTGATTCCATAGTTTCTGATCAATACTCAGCAATAACTCTTTGCTCCTCTGTAACATGTAATTTTCTCTCATTGTTTTCAAGATTTTCTCTTCATTATTGTCTTTCAGTAGTTTGAGTAGGATGTGTGTAGGAGTAGGTATATTTAGTTTATCCTGCTTGAGGTTCATTGAACCTCTTGGCTTTGTAAATCAATGTTTTCATCAAATTTGGGAAGATTTTGGCCATTATTTCTTAAAATAACTTTTTCAACCCCATTCTTTCTTTCCTTTCATTTAGAGTTTTGCTGAACTGTTTCTTTTTATTGCACAGGTCTCGGGTTCTTTTCATATTTTCTTCTGTTTTTCTTTCTGGAAAATTTCTATTGATCTAGCATCAATTTCTCTAAGTCTTTTCTGCCACCTACAATCTGCTCTTGAATCTACTTAGCTAATTTTTATTTAGTAATCATACTGTCAGCCCTAAAATTTCTGTTCTTATTTCTTTAGTTTCTACTTGTGAGATTTCTTATTTGCTCATTCATTAATATCACGTTTTCCTTTAATTCTTTGAACATATTTTTAACAGCTGTTTTGAAGTCTTTGTTGAATTAAACATCTGGCTCTGCTTGGAGTTGTTTTCTGTTGACTATCTTTTGTCTTTAGTTGAGTTCTACTTTACTGGTCTTTGCATGTTTGTCTAGTAATTTTTGGTAAATTTAAAATTTAATGAATTTTGAAAAGTGGACCATATAGATATGTTGCAATGAGTGGATTCTGTTGCATTCTTCAAGGATTTAAGAACTTTTACTTTGGATTTTACGGATTAGTTGTGTTAGTTAACAAGTCATTTTCTATGAAGTCATTATCATAGACAGGTTTATAATTGTAAGATTTAGTATTACATCAATATCTTCAGATTGGGCCTGAATTTTCTAACATCAAGAAATTATTTTCTTTAATTTCACAAAATTTGAGTTTTGCAGATGAAAATCTTAATCATAGGAGTTGATCTCAGTATATCATAAAGTAATTATGATTAGCATTTATTAAGCAGTTACCATGTGTCATGCTTGGTGTTAAGGTCTTTGTATACATATTTGGATTAATCCTCGTAACAGACTCCATATTCAGATTTTGGAAATTGAGGAAATTACCTTTTAATATAAATTCACATAGCTAATAAGTTCTGGAAGTAAAAGATGCACTCAGTCTTTTTGACTTAAAGATCATGTTTCTTTAGGTCTGTGTTGTACTTCTTTCCCTTTTTGTTGCTATTATATAGGTTAAAATTTTTTTAATTACATTTCTAATGATTTTGGACAATGGGTTGACATGGTCAAATTGGATATTAGTTAATATTACAGCACACCATATCCTATCATACCATACCATGCTTTAGGGAAAAAAATAGATTTAGGTTATTTTATGTAACCCAGTTTTAGCTTTAAAGTTGCCTTTAGTGTTTTTTGTGAATTAATATTGACAGTTTAGTGTAGGATTGGTCAACATTTTAAATGTTGGAAAATGAATGTTTCTGTTTAATCACTTATCACTTAAAGCCCCTGTTAACTTTAATATATCTATGACAGTTTAAAAAAAAAACTCCTGGGGCCCGCCCCGTGGCTTAGCGGTTAAGTGCGTGCACTCCGCTACTGGCAGCCCGGGTTCAGATCCCGGGCGTGCACCGACGCACCACTTCCCTGGCCATCCTGAAGCCACGTCCCACATACAGCAACTAGAAGGATGCACAACTATGACATACAACTATCTACTGGGGCTTTGGGGGGGAAAAAAAAAGGAGGAGGATTGGCAATAGATGTTAGCTCAGAGCTGGTCTTCCTCAGCAAAAAGAGGAGGATTAGCATGGATGTTAGCTCAGGGCTGATCTTCCTCACAAAAAAATAAATAAATATTAAAAAAAAAAAAAAAAACTCCTAAAATTTCTTGTGAAAATATTTCAAAATTATTTTTTACATGGCAGATGTTTAGCTCATGAGTATCCTGTGGTCTTTTATCTGACAAACTCTCTTTCTTTAGGTAAAACCATTTAGGGGTCCAGATTGAACCAGGCTACTCATTATCTTCATTTCCCCCCAGTATTTCATTTTCCTTTATGTCTGCCAGAGTTTCCTTTGCATAATGCAGAAGTTTTGTTTTTCAGAGTGGTAAAGCCACAGGCAGTGATTCAGGAGGTGTCATTGATCTCACAATGGATGATGAAGAGAGTGGAGCTTCACAAGGTACTTAAATATAAGTAATTGTGCTAAAGAATGCTTTGATACCATTTTTTCCTCTTAATCCACTATAATATTCAATGAAGACAGATCTCTACAGCGTCATGCTTGGTGTATTTGTATCCCTTTTAGTATGACAGTTTTTTTAGATTAGAGTTAAAAAATAGAAATCAAATCTTGAATGAATATGAACAAGGCATAAAGGAAAACAGAGCAATTAGGAGACTATTTAACTTGTGGGTTACCTTTCTTTTTATATCTATTTCACTTGATCCTTGCAACAACCTTGTAATGCCCATTTTAGAGTTGAGGGTAGATTCAGAGAGTGGGAGTCAGTAAGGGATCTAGGGATCAAATTAAATGTTCTTTCTGTGTGTGTGTGCGCGTGCGCATGTGCGCACACACATGATAGTTTTAAGTGTGTATATATTTAATGTTGGTTATTTGAAATAATAATTTCCTTTATTTAGTGTTATATAAATAAAAATGAAAGTAATGTTAAAAAGCATGCAAACCCAAAATCCTCAATATTATTCTGAGTTGCAATATTTAGAAATTATATTGGATAATATTAACCAATATTCCCAATTATTCTTCTGCAGTGTTAATAGGTGTTCTATGAATAAAAAGTTCAATATTAAATATGCTTGGGAAATGCTGAATTAAACAAAATTATGAGTTTTTTTCTTAATACAGACTTCTCTAAGCCTTTATTATGCTAATTTATAATGTAATTCTTCAAGAATGATTCAAGATACAAAGTATTTCTCAGACTTATTTGACTGCACAAAATAATTGTTCACAGACGTTATCTGTAAAACTCTGTGATAATTATATAAGGCTTGTGGGAAATCTAGTCAGATCAGGTGATAAGTTAATTATTACCTTAAAGACATTAAATTTTTTAAAAACCTAAAGATTTGAAAAATTGTATTTTAGTATATAAGATAGTTCAGTTGGTTTTAGGACAATAAAACTAAGTAGCTATACAATTGATTCTGTGACAATAAAGTCAATTTTTTTGTATAAAACTGATGTAAAATTAGAAGATTTATGCCATCATTTGTCAGCGTTGAGTTCATATTAGTATGATTATTCTTAAAAAGTTTCAAATTATCTGTATTGCTTTTATTATTTTTTTTACAAACAAGTCTAATTATAATGAATCTCTAGAGGACAGAAATAAATACAGTTTATTTTTGAGAGGAGACAGGTAGGGCTGATTCTGAATAAAAAAGTAAAGTAACCAAAGTTTGTTAGCAGAGCTCTTGCCCTTTTCCTTTCTAGTGTCCTTGCCTCGTGGGGTCTCTTTCCATTGTCCCACCTTGAATGTATCGTAAATTCTCCCATTCTAAAGTGCATTGTTCTCCATCAGCACCCAATCAAAGTAACAGTTGCTAAAGCCTTAACTTTTCTTTACATTTTAGTGAGGAATTCCATAGGACAGAAGTCAATGGGGATCATTTTGGTTAGAAGGTCTTTTGCCTTACACTCTTTATATTATGCTGTATAGTGGTTACCTAGTTTTAAGGGCTTTTTCTGAGATGCAAACATTTATTTCATAGGCTGTTGGAGACCTTTCTTGAGATTAGACACTCTGTGTGTATTTTATTTTAAAGACTGCATAGTGTAGATAAGCAACCATCTGTGTTATCAAACAAAAGAACCTAAACAACAGCAGATTAATTGGAATTCAAGATCACTGGTAAAACTCACCATTTTATAGGTATTTGTCTAGGGGAATGTCCTTGCTATATATACATAGATATATATAAATGTAGGAAATGAAATTATTCTGATTGACATGATATTGTATTGAGTTCACAAGTAGGATTCTTTCATGAAAAACAAACAAAATGTAAAGCTGTATTTCTGTAAATGTGAATTAGAATATGTGATAGAACCAACAATGAATTATTTAAGGTCCTGACTTGGTTTTCAAATTGGCAGAAGTACACATAATTAAAATAGAAATTATTCTCTTAGCGGTAAATGTGACTGAGTGACAGAAGTAAAATTCACAAATAAAGCAAAAACCTATATTTCTGATTATCTTCTATCAATAATCGTAGTGTCTCACTTTTAATTAACAGAACCTAAAAAGCTAAATCACACTCCTGTGTCAACCATGAGTTCTTCTCAGCCTGTGTCTCGACCGTTGCAACCCATCCAGCCAGCACCACCTCTTCAGCCATCTGGGGTGCCAACAAGTGGACCATCTCAGACAACCATACATTTACTACCTACAGGTAAACTTGCTGAATTATTGAGCTGAAGCTTTAGTTTTGCTTCCAGTGAAATGTGACTATGGAATTGAGTGGAATGGAAAGATTAGACAGAAAATTAAGAAGAATAATCATTGCTATTTAGAAGACAGTATGTCTTTTTGAATGCAGTATGACTTAGTTTTGTTGACCCTCTTATGTAGCAGCACTGATACAGAATGATTATAAAGAAGACTTAAACTATATATGTCTTTGTTATCTGCCACTGTAAAAAGCAGAAATGAATATAGTTTCTCTGGAAGGGATGGATGTAATGATTCATTCTGATTATAACCAAGAAGTGGACATTGATTGATCAAACAGGTATTTTTAAATGATTTTTAACTTGAACTAGTTTTAACTGGTCTAACACTACCATCAGGAAATATGCGCTGTTATTTTACTTGCTACCTCTCAAGAAGCTGTAAATCAGCTTCTTGTAGCCTGTATTTCCTAAACTGTTTGGAAGCCAATCAAGACAATTTGTCTTCTTCATAAAATAACCCATTGCTTGCAGATTTAGCTGCAAAATACTTATATAAGTACTCGTTAAGGAAAACTTTGAGTTCACATGAAATTTTATCCAGTGAAATTAAAATGACCGTCACCTAAGTTAGGTAATTTAGAAGGAAATATCATTATGCAAACCCATGTGCAGTATAGATAATAAAATGGATAATAAAGAGATGAAGAGAGAAGTTTTCCTCCTTGTATACGTCCCCTTTCTAAAGGTTCACATTGAAAGTTAGAATATGTAAAGACTAAGGAGCCTTTAGTAAAGAACCTTTTTATCTTTGTTATAGCCAGTGTTTACCTCCAGATTTATTTTATTATAGAACCCATTTTTCCATATGAAAGTAGATTTATTATTGTTTTTTATTATTTGGTTAATATGTGGTCATTTGTAAAATGTGATTCTAATTCAGAGAGTTATTAACAAGTTGTTAACTCCTAAGATCATTATTATAGTTTCATGCTGTCAGTTCACGTTTAGGACTCAATTTTTGATAAATGTATACTAACATCATTCAAGGTATTAATGCTCTCTGGAACATGGATTAAGAGGAATGCCAGAAAAGGAAGAAGTCTGTATTTTAATGGATGTTTTATTGTTTTGAGTAAGAGATAGTTTGGTTCACCTGAAGAAATTGTCAATTGCATTAGCCAGCCAGTTTCTTGAACTGTGGGAATACAGAGTTACTCTTTTGGATTTATACTCATTGGTAGAAGGCCTGGAGGGCCTAAAATTTCACTCTGCAAGAACAATTTAACATTGAAGAGGAAAAATTTACTTTTTTAAGACACACCTATAAGATGATACTCTCAAGTCTAAACCCTTTCTTTATCTTCACATGCTTATTATCTAGTCAGAGTAAAGAGTGGGAAGGGCATTGCACATGGTTGAGGTGCTCTTTTCTTTTGAAGCTTGGATTGTAATAATATTAATTTTGATTGGCCTTATCATTCTTATCTTTCAAAATTACAAGAGGAGACTGTTGTCTCTATTTCTCTCTTTATCATAGATTTTGTGCAAAGTTCATTACCATTTAATACTGTTTACTTAACATAGAATTTACTGCATTCTTATATATTATTCTGCTTTTCATTAGCTCCAACCACCGTGAATGTAACACATCGTCCAGTAACTCAGGTGACCACGAGACTCCCTGTACCAAGAGCTCCTGCAAACCACCAAGTGGTTTATACAACTCTCCCAGCACCACCAGCTCAGGCTCCCCTGCGAGGAACTGTCATGCAGGCTCCTGCTGTTCGGCAGGTCAATCCCCAAAATAGTAAGAAACTCTTTTCTTGTATTTGGCCCCAGGTTATATGTAGTTCTTCAGCATTTAGTTGAAGTGGCTTATTAGGTTTAGCAAAAAAGTGCTGGTAATATTACATTAAAACTCTTAATTCATTTTTTTTCCTTTAGGAAAGTTAACCAGAAAAATTGGACATGTATATTACATGATTTGTGCTTCGTGTGTTGTCTTCAGTTTAACTTTAATTATTTATGGCCTCTACTATCACAGTACCCTATTTGAGGTTGGCCTACACTCCACTCTATTAAGAGGTACCCTGCCTAATTAAAGTGGGAATGATCAGTTGTGACTTAGCCCAGATGATGGAAATAATGGTAAAGGATCAACTGTGATTTAGCCTCCAATGAGAGAGAGTCTTAAAGATATGGAAGGTGGCTGAGAAATAAAAGACAAGAAAATGTTAAAGGAAACTTGTAGTTTCCGTATATGTTTTTTAGTAGTGAAATATATTATACAAACAGAAGTTTATATAAAAGGTATATTTAAAGTTTAAAGAAAAATAATAAAATGGGCCACCTGTGAACTCTTCACCAGGCTAAGAAATAGAGCTTTATCAGTATCCTACAAGCCTACCATATGACCACCCTTAATTGCATCCCTCTCCCTCTTTATCAGAGGTAACCATCATCCTTACTTGCTGCTTTTCTGTATGGTTTTGCCACCTATGTAGGTATCACTGAAAATACTTAGTTTTGCAAAGTTTAATAGCAAGGACAAATCTAGTTGTTTAAAGAAACTGTAGTAATGCCATTATTAGGTGATGGCTTCCAGGAGAAAATAAACTAAGCAGAGTCTCTGGTTCACAATCTGGCTTCAACTTTCTCAAGTTTATAAGAGCTTCTCTGGGGCAGTCAGTCAGCATGGTGATGAATGAGTTCTGGGAAACTGGGCTCACAACAGCCAGTGTATCTGGTAGAACTATGGTATCAACCAGGTATTGAATATATGGCAGGAATATGGTTTGGGCAGTAGATGGCTCTAAATTTTCTGCTTCTGTTGCCCTGATGTATGTCAAAACAGTTTTCTGTTGGGTGAAATGAGTACCCTCAGCTGATCAGCAGGGCATAGAAAGAAAGAGAGGAACCTCATTAACATGCGGCAGGGATTACTTAGTCAAGATTTCTGTCCTAGTTAAAAAGATGAGACAGCAGAGACAGTTGTGAAGACAGCTTTAATTTGTCTGTCTTTATAGTCACACTGCTCCATTCTGGCCTGTTTGCCTTCAACATGTGGTGTACCACCAGTGTTCCACTGTTCGAGGACTTTTGCTCATAGTCCTCTTGGAAGGGATTCCATTTATTTCTCACCTGTGCTGGATTTCCTATTCCTTGTATCTCATGTTTTCCTCTTTCTTGATAGAGAACTCTCGTACAAGTGGCATACATCCTTTAGTGGCTATGTGAGAAAGAGTTCATGGAGGTAGAATTTTTTTTTGGTTGCTTGCATATATGAAAATTTTTTTATTCTCATGCTCGAATGATATTTTGGCTGAGTGTAGACTTCTAGGTTAGAAGTATTTTTCCTTTTGAATTTTAAAAATATCACTTTATTGACTTCAAGTGCTTAATCAGTGTTCCACCAAATTTAGAATAGAATTCTAATTTTAGCCCTTAATTTTCTTTTGTAGGTGTCACAGTTCGAGTGCCTCAAGCAACTACTTATGTTGTAAACAATGGACTAACCCTGGGATCAACAGGACCTCAGCTCACAGTGCATCACCGACCACCACAAGTGCATACCGTAAGTGCTGATACTTGGCTTTACAAAATTCTCCACTGTAAAGCTGTGAAATATTAGTGTAGTTAGCAGTTTTTCTTTAAACTAGTTATATCAAAAGGAAATGATAGATCTTCTGTTTTTCCAGCAGAAGTTTATTTAAGAAAATAGATCTTACCACTGTGAACAAATGTTCCTAGGGATGACGGTCATCGAGGAGCATTGAGTTTTCTTGTGGTGGTGTACAGTGTACGAAAAGAATCCACAGCAGGGCCACGTGAAGTGAAATAAAACATTTCTACCTTATGGTTAAAAGAGTATTTTTTAGTATTAAAAAGAGTATTTTTAAAAAGTATTTTTTTGTGTTCTCACTTTATTCTTTTTCTCAAAACCTCATACCAGTTCTAACTGCTACGTTGCTATCACTTTATTGTTTTCCAGTGGTATTGGGAATTCATTTGTTAAGAGATAATGGAGAAAACCAAAGATTTTTCCTTAGATTTAACCTCTAAAAAAGTCACATTATCCCATGACATGATTACCACAGTACTTGGTATGGTATACCATGTAAATGGAAATGCTGGCTTTATGAGGGGATAGAAGATTGAGGCTGATATCACTTTTTACCAAGCAAAGCTTACTTTTTTTTTAGTACTCATAATAATGGCTAGCATTTATTGAGCATTTATTAATGTGCCAGGCACTGTCAATATACCTGGTCCTCACACAGGAATCCTTTAGGACTCTCCCTCTCCTTTTTTATCCTTTATTATAGGTATGCTAGCTAATGCACAGAGAGGTTGAGTAACCAGCACAAGGTCATACCTCATAAAAACCCATGCATTCCAGCTCTAGAGCCTATGCTCTTAACAGCTATTATTTTTATTGTCTCACTACAACGAAAAAATTAATATTAATGGAGCACTTACTATATACCAGGCACTCTATTAAGTACTTTACATGTATTCTTTAAGTCTCAAAACCCTATGAGGATTATTATTCTCCTTTTGACAGAAAAGGATACCGTGTCACAAAGATGTCAGATGGTTACTCAGTGTCGCTACCCAAGCTAGTGTCAGAGCCGTAGCCATTTTCAAACTCAGGTCGTCTGATCCTAACACCTACAGAGTGTTTTCACGGTGCTTCAAATCTGGCCCTATTAGAGTATGTGGCAAATACACCATTACTGTTGCTTACATCTACAAATAATTTCTTTCATTCCATAGTCTTTCAAAAAATATTTAGCAAAGATCTCTTATTTATACCATAGGTTTGCAAATTTGATGACCCGTCAGACCTTTTTTGTAAAAACAGGATTCTATGTGTATTGTCTTAGAATAAACGGTGTATCTTACAGGAGAAACATTATTTTAATGTAATTTTGAAAATGTTTTTACATGGGAATTTTCAAATATGTATAGAAGTAGAATAGTATAACGATTCTTACTTACCCATCACCCCTCCTCAACAATTATCAACACTTGGCCAGTCTTATTTCATCTACAGTGCTACAAACCATGTATACGCTGGATTATTTTGAAGCAAATCCTTGATGTAATATTATTTTATCTGTAAAATTTCAATGAAAACCTCCATTGCAATGGCAAAAACAAAACAAAGCAACAACTCAGTTGACTTAACTGGGATATGAGCAGATTCAGAATCCTAGAATTTTAAGAAATAGAAGAGATTACAGGCCATTTAAGCTGTTGTCAAACTCCTTAAATTCCTGTGCTCCCTGCAGTCAAGTTCATGCCTTCAGCCATCTTCTCTTAGATCTTGCTAGCTATATGTTATTTATTTAACGTTATTTACTTAAGTGGTTAAGTCATTTTAGGAAAAAAGATCATTTGAGAGAGGAAATAACAGCAACATGGCCAGTATTCAGATGAGTTCTACTTCTTCAGCTTTCAATGTTTTATCTATTTACATTTGATTTTTTTTTCCCCTCTAACTTTATTTTAGCTTTTTAATTGTGGATTGTACCTTTTTCCAGGCGTGTATATCAATTTTCTCCACTAGGCTTATGAATTTCAGCAGATATGCATTCCTTGAAATTATTCAGCATATCTTTTTTGAGTTCTTAGTCTGTGCACATTACTGGTACTAAGCTTTGAGAAGGCATGAAGGTTAAAAAAGATATCAGACCTTCACAGAATTCACTATTTAGTGTATGTGAATTATCCATTTAATGAAATACATATTAAAATATAGTTTTTGTTAAATGAATTTCGCTTAAGGAAATCTTATTTGTTTCATGATTTTCAATCTCAAGTCATTGAGCAATAATATGTTTCACTTGGGGGAAAAAAAAATCACTCATATCCCTATTTCCTAGCTGTCACTTGAATCTTTTTTGGAAAAATTATCACATAATCTTAAAACCTGGATGTAATAATAATAATGTCCATTGTTAGACAAGTCAATTTGACTTCCTAAGCTTAGTATTCATGCTTTTTCATCGTCCGGCCTTAACCTACGTTTCTGAATTTTCTTCTTCACATACCCTAGGTCTAAGTAAAAGTTAATACTTGTTTTTGCCCGTAAATTCCCTCCCTTTCCTATCCCCATGCCCTTGTTCATGCTTTACCTAATGGCAGAAAGGTACACAGCTATTTCTGCATTTCTAAAGCCTATCTTTCATGGTCCAATTTAAACGTCACCTTATTTGTGCAGACTGACCAAGAACATAATATACATTCAGCATTAAATGTGCTTATTTATAAGAATGTGCTTCTGTCTTTACATGGAAAAACAGCTTGAAAATGAAAGTACAGTTGAATAATCAAATTTCATATGATAGACTGCCACACATCATATTAAAAAATATTATATTATACTAAAATGAGAATCTGTAGCATAGATAGGGAATTAAATCATAAATTATTTTGTTAGAACTAGATGATTATTTCAGTTTCTGTCAAGGTGATGTTCCATCAGCAAGGGCTTTTATTTTCCAAGGAAAACTCAATATTTTAGATCTAGAAAGTATAGTAGAAGTAACCTCAGCACGATTATTTGGGACATGATTGGTTACAAATCACCAAATAAAACTTGCCAAATCTGGTATGGTGTTCTTGATGTAAAATGATATCTTTCTAAATGATCGCTAAGATGTTTTAGGTCTAGCATTCAGAAACGGTCCTTTCTGTGATCATTGTAAATTGACATGACTCTTCTTTTGTTAGGAGCCCCCACGCCCTGTACACCCAGCACCCTTACCGGAAGCCCCACAACCCCAGCGTCTGCCCCCAGAAGCTGCCAGCACATCTCTGCCTCAGAAGCCACACTTGAAGTTAGCACGAGTTCAGAGTCAAAATGGCATTGTACTGTCATGGAGTGTCCTGGAGGTGGATCGAAGCTGTGCCACTGTTGACAGCTACCATCTCTATGCTTACCATGAGGAACCCAGTGCCACTGTGCCCTCACAATGGAAAAAGATTGGAGAAGTAAAGGCACTTCCCTTGCCCATGGCATGCACTCTCACCCAGTTTGTATCTGGCAGCAAATACTACTTTGCAGTACGAGCCAAGGATATTTATGGACGTTTTGGACCTTTCTGTGATCCTCAGTCAACGGATGTGATCTCTTCTTCCCAGAGTAGTTAAACCTTGGAGCCTTTATCTCTTCCTCTTTCAGAGTTTCCACTTTTGTTCTTATTTAATCTTGTGCATGATACCCATTGTAAAATCCACATTGTGCAAGATTTCTTGGACAGATGTGTATATACACTACATTTGTTTATAATCACGAGTAAAATAAACTCAGCCCATAAAGCAAGAATCTTTTCCTGGACAATTCAAGCTTCAAGGTTTTGAAATGTAAATGTGCACCTTGCTTTAGTTTTGAGGCTGGGAAATATGTGTGGGTGTTTGTGTGTGTTTTTCCCTATTTATATGTTTACTGCAGTGGAATTGCCCATTTTCATTCTCAAATTTACTTCTATTCCAATATGAAGTAAGTAGGTCAAAAGATCTGAGGTATGTAACTGGCATGATTCTGCTTCTGAGGGATCTGTATGTTCATAGTTAAGTGATTTAAACTGAATCTAAACAAAACCCAAAGAAAGGAAGAAAAATGGTTAATAGTTTAAAATAGGTTAATTTGAACACAGGAAATGATCTGTTCATCTTTTCTTTTGTCTCTTCTGGGTTGTTAATTAGGTGAAAAAGATCTGCAATGGCCCCTCCCTTTCCTAATCTGACTTTTACATTTATTTTGTGCCTTAAAGATTAACCTCACAAATAAACACGGCCATTTGTGCACGATCATTTACTCTTCCCTTTGAGCCTTTCGCCCTTCATTTTTCCTTCATCTCCACCAAATATAGCACATTCCCTTCAAATAAATTTAAACCAAGTCTTTTATATATATTTTCATCAGTGGTATCACTGCCTTTAACTGCAAAAATTTGACTTGCTATTTTCTTGTAAGAATATAAATGCTTTTATTTTTAGTCACTATTTAAATTAACTCTGTGTAAAGTGGACCAAGAGAAGACCATATTGTGTAAGAAAATTTTCCTTCAAAGATATTTTAGTATCTGTGTTGCACACTGTGTTAGAAATTATGAAAGCAATTCTATTTCATTTTATCACCCAAAGCATAGTAATCTTTCAAAGGAAGTAAATAGTAAAATTCACAAAATATGGTGAGCTAAAATATCAAAGGGAAAGTCCATTTCCTCTTTATTCTCATATCATTCTTCCTGTTTTAACTTTTTAACTTTGTTTTGATGGTGCCAGTGTTGTCTGATTTACCCTATGTCAACTTTGGATAGAACTTAAAATATCTCCTCTGGGGTCATTTTCTATAACAATTAGATATAACTTCCTGTACATCTCTGTTCCTCTTCAAAGTTAATCAAATTCAGCTTAGGTCATGGGTTTTCAATATGAGTGCCAGCTCTGCTGGTATTGGGGTAGATATTTGAGTGTAGATAGTTTAGGACAGGAGAGCTGGGGTAAGTTTGGGGATGAGAATGCGGTTGAGAATATTTTGAAGGGATTCATGGAGTTTGTGAAATAATTTTTCAAGTCATCTTCCCTTACCATATTTTAATTCATATTCCTACCTTCTCAAAATAAATTAGTCATTAATTTTACCTGGAATTATAGGAGGGAGCTATCCCTTCTATTTATGCTGCTTTGTTTGCAACTTTGATGGCTTATAATAGGAAGCATTCTAGTTGTAAAGGTCAGTGTACTGTCATATTAGGTGTGAAGTTTGATTGATGCTGAAGAAAGCCTACAGATTGCCAAAATGTAAATGCTCCAAAACCTTCCTTTCACTTTCAGAAAATGAGACCACAGTGAGAATTAAAGTTTCCATGAATCAAATTTGCCAACCAACTACATAGATGTTACTCATTCTAGGACTAATGATGATGGTAAAGAAGTTGCCAATGTCATGCCAATGAAAATTTCAAAAGGGAGAAATCTAGATGTATAGGAACACCTATCTATATCTGCATGTATATATATTTTTACCTGCAGTGGTTGCAATGTCGATTATGTGTTCAAGATCATTCCCGTCTACAGAACAGAAAGCTCATGTTCAAAATTGTTCTTTATTGACCGGTTTTATGGTCACATGATAACAATTTCCTTACCTAGCCTAGAAAAGTTTCCCTTGGTGAATGTTTTTATTTATACTCACTAATCCTTTTTTTAAAAAAAGCTTTCATAGCATTATATAATCAGGTAAAAAAAGCCCAGTAGAATGAAAATATTTCATTATTTTAGCCTATATTGTGTGTTTTCTAAGAAAAAAAATTCTCAAATAGTAACCCTAAAAATAGATTTACTACAGTAAAATAAATCTTTTTATTCCAGATGGTGGAAGGAAGGTGCAAAGAGATTGTAGTTATTTGAGGAAAAAGTGTATTATAAGATGGTCTCTTCAAATTATGGGATTTAGGGGCAACAGCTCTGTTGGATTTACTGAAGTGTGCTAGGCTAGAACTATAGGCTTTTATTTGGGGCAGGTTTTCATGTTGCTGAGTGCTGACTTTGGTTTGGTTTGTTTCTTTTGGGAGAGAGAATGGAGGACTCAACTAGAAACAGCTACTGAGGACAGACTTTTTTGTAGCAGTTCACACCCCATGGTACCTTTCTTATTTCATGGTACCTTTTCACTAAGTATTACAAATGAGCTTGATTATCCCATTTTGGGAATGCAAGTTTGCTACATTTTTTAGCCTGACAATACTTGTGTAAGTATTGCCTTATTGGAAATCCTGGAAACTTCTGATATTTCAACCTGAAATGTAGGATGTTTATATGGCATTTAAAAGTAACAGTGATCTTTGTTACTCCCTACTTTGCACTTTGTCAGAGTAATTTTCACCCTGTTTTAAGTGTAAGCCTCTTTTTAAAATTATGTTCTTGCCAGTAAATTTATAAATTACATCAAAGACAAAATCTGTTGTTAATAGCTAACTTTATGAGGTAACTATCTCCCTCTATTTCTCTGGACTCACTTGTTAAAATATGCAGAATACTGTGTGCTGTTTTAACACAGTAGTTTATGAGAGAAGAGTAGAGCTTTCTTCCTTGAAAAGTGACTATTTATTGGGATACTATTTGCCTCACAGAGAGGTGTTCCCCTCTCTCCCCACGCCCATTGTCAGATAGTAAATGAAAGGTTTAATTGAAAAAAGTGACCTAAAGCAAGGAGCTTAGAATCTTAGGTACATCTGTCTGCAGAACTCCTTAAGCGGGCTGCACCATGCAGTTCTCCTACTGTACTGGATAAGTGTTAACTTAGTTTTTGTTGTTTGCTCTTTTGCTTACATTTTCCAAATTATCATTTATGCAGCAAGGTGAGTGTTAATATTGCATGATAAGCATTTATCTTGTTCCATGAATTTTCCAGTACTGTACAAGATTAACATAATAATGCCTGTGGTATCCTTCTCTCTCACCTTTGTACACTGTGATCTTAGCAGTGCCGGGTACTGCAGAGACCTTCCAAGTGTTCTCCCCGACTTTCCTTCCTGGGCTAATTCAGTGTCCTATGGTTTATTAATTATTTTAACTTTGTCATTGACCAGTCATTGGCCGATTTTATTCTCATTTCCAGAGAAACCATGTCCCAGTATTAGATTATTGCAGATAACTCTTATCTAAAACCAATGTATGATTTTGCCTTCCTTACGATTTACTGGGCAAATGATGCCCCCCGCTCCTTTTTTAAATTTTGGGGGAAAAAAAAAGATTAGAATAATTCTCATGTTTTATTAGTGTGGCAGGCTTATCTAATTCCTAAAATTTATTCCCCTTGAGCCAACCAATGGGGAGGAATAGGAAAATACAAACACCTGTTTTGTCTTCTCATCTTTAAAATGTTTTTATCATGCTAAATAAGTGTTTTTTTTTTTATTTGTAGAGTCAGCTAAGTACCCATCATTTATATTTAAATACTGTCTTTTTGAAGTTTTGTTTGTAAATAAGGTAACTGGGCAATCAAACACCTTTTGGGTATCCTGGCTTTAGTATTTTATCAGCCATTTCAAAATTAAATATAAAAATAAATCCTTTGTAGGATATTTGCATCCTGATTTTTCTTTATTGCAGTTGAAAGTGTAAATAATAAGACAATGTAAGACCTTCCTAATGTCTAATATAAACTGGGCTAGAGCCCTATTTTTATTAGGTTTTGAAGGTTTTTGTGGGTTTTTTCTTTTTTAAATGTACAGTAGAGTGGTGTCTGTATAAGTGTTAACTGTAGTGGGATTTTGTCCAGCAAGCCTGAAATTTATACTTTGAAATAAAACTACTGGGTTTTTAACATTCTGAGTACTCTGATTTATTCTGATTATTCTCAGCCCTGTGTTTCTTTCTTTTGAAAGTCTCTCACCTTGTTAAGAATCACCCATTAGACTGTCCAATATGGTTGATTTAACCTGCATGGCAATACCATGGCACTCACACGACATACAGTTCTCCAGCTTTGAGAGAAAAGTTATTATGCAGAGTTGCTCCCAGATTGGATATGCTGCTTTTAACTAAAGGGAGACAACATGAAGGTTTGCTCTATTGTGTGCCTAGCCTGCCCCACAAAAACCCTCAACTGATGCTTGTTAATGCCCAGAAAAACCACTACCTGCATTTCTCTTAGAGGTTCCTTTGACAAGGCAGTTCCACCATCCCCTAGGACTTTGTCATGAAGTATATTCAGCCAGGGGAAGGAGCAAGAGCATGGAGGAGTACAGGTTCTTAGGGGCCAGGCCTGGAAGGGCCACTCGTCTCAGATTCCATCGGCAAGACCGCTGTCACGTGGCACAACTACGTAAGAGAACCTGGGAGATGTGGCCAGGCATAAAAGGAGAATATGGATTTTGGTGAGCAAGGGAGCAGTTTCAGCCATACCCTCTTGTATATAAGCTTGTATGCTGAAGCATTGTATTGTTATTTATCATACATAATGCTTCTTCCACAGTGCTCTACCCCATAGTGAATGCTTGTTAAAAACTACAGAATCAACAGTGGAAAATGAAAGTGACAGACCGAATTTAATATATTTTATTAACACTAATTTTGAATGAAAAAACATAGCTAAAATAGTGCCTTTGGTATCTTATTTTCAGCCTTCTAGTCCTTCATCTCCCTCTTAAATTTCAGGTTTCAGAATTGGTTTCATAGTAATAAAATCAAAGTTGTAGGCCTCTGGCATGCCCTCATGGAGAGTTTTGTTGAACCGGTTCCAGTGAAAAACAGGGAGGCCATCCTGTACTGTGGGGCCACTAATGGCATAGGCTGTGTAATCTGATGCTAGGTAGATATCTGCCACCTGGAAAGAGAGAGAAGGGGGACATTTTAGAAAACTATGTGGAAAAAACTTGACTAAATCCTTGTTTTTTCTCGTGTTTTTTTTTTTTTTTCCTGCTCTTTTTCCAAAGTCACAATGTTAGCCAACTTGAAAACAAAATCTTGCAAGCTTCCACGATATGTTCTTCTGTATCTATTTGGCATTCAAATGTGAACTGACTAGTAGAAGTGTGTTAAATTAACAATGTAGCCAAAAGTGTGAGATCTGGAGTCAGATTACTCATATTCAGAATTCTAGATCCAAAACTTATTCAAAAATAACTCCTGTATGACTCAGTTTTCTCATTTGTAAAGTAGGCTAATAACCTTACTTCACAGAAGAGTTATCGTAAGGATTAATAAGAGCAAATGCTTGGAGCAGTGCCTAGAATATATTAACTCGTCAATAAAAGTTGTTATTATTTGGGGCAGTAACAAGAGTTTTAAAGTAGAAGAGACTCAATACCAAAAGATGAGATCCATGGTTCTCAAAAACACCTACACACTGAGTAGCAACAGATTTCAAGCTTAGAGAGGAAAGAAGAAAATGTCTTATAACTTCTGATTTTCCCCATACTCAAAATGGCTCAAGAGAAATAATATTTTTAAAGTATATCCTTCAATTTTTTTGATGAAAAATTGGCAGGCTCCTGTCTCCAGAAGAAAGTAAAATTTGGCAAATGGAACCTTGGCGTGGGTTCTCCCAGGCAAGGCAGCAGAGGTAATTTTCTTTGTGTATTCTAGAATGGATATAACACTTTTTGCACATTTTACTGAATGTGTGCAAACACTATTAAAAAGAAATAAATGCAAAAACATTCATTGGGGCTCCATGTGTGCCAGGCTCTCTATCCACTAATTTATTTTTACACAACATACTGAGAGTCATCAAGGCTAAAGCTTTGCCACCGTCACATAGCTAAAAGTGGGTTGAGTAGGAACTCAGTCTACCCTAAAGCATCTCCTGTTTAGGCATTAGGCTGATGGGAAAACAATGCGTAGGGGCTTAGCATTCTTACAGTTTTCAGAACTGATGATAGAAGAGTCAGCTCCACTTCTAACAGATTTCTTCCAAAATTTAGGACTGGAGATGCAAATAAAAAGAGACATGCCCAAGCCAAAAATGCAACAGGATGTGATAGAATGATTATTTCCACAACTACATGGCTAACTCATACCCTGGGACACCCCAAACCCAGTAGTGTCCAGGTAAATTTTTAACAATCAGCTAAGGAAAAAAGGCCCTGATTTGTAGTGTTTGCTGATTTCCATGGTATAAAGACTCCCACCATGGCTGATTTCAATCTATCAACATGATGTCAACTGACTTTAATAATTGGTTCTCACAAGCCTAAGTTGGCTTCGGCCCACCACTGTAACCTATTTATTACCTATATTAGGAGACACATTACAGCACTTATCAATTCTAACACGGTGAAACCCCCTTAGTGCTTTGGGCATCTGGTCCAATACTTGTTCCTTCAGCTAAATTCAATTCCTGTTTAATGTGAAATCACACTGCTCTCGATAATATGTTCTTTGGACTTTGGGCCAGTTTGGTAAAACTTAAGACATCAACATTATCACCATCATCATCATCACCATGATTGTGTACACTTACAAATAACCCACTAAGTACTGTTCTAACCATTTTATAGATATTAAAAGTTTATTCTTCACAACAACCCTATGAGGCAAGTACTGTTAATTTCATTTCACAAATGAGGAAACAGAAGCATTACAAGATTATGTGATTTACCATTAAGTGGCAGAGGAGACACTTGAAGTTAGGCAAGGGGACCTGGCACCAGAATCTCTGAAAAATCCGATTCCTGAATTGAGTTTATGGTTAGAGACCTTATTGTGCTTTATGCTACAAAAATCTCTGCAGCTTTGCCTGTGAATAGGCCTAGGTGCTGGCGGAAATTAAATTCAAAAGCCAGTAGCATGTTACCTTCGTGTCATAGCAACCTCCAGGACTCGGGTTCTGGGAGTTCAAGTCCTCACGGCAGCAGATGGTGTTGCAGGGATCGCCCTTACTGTAAGGATCCTTCTCATAATCTAGGAAACAGTGATGGGGAGAAGAGTAAATACTGGCTATTCAGAGATAACCCTTATCCACAGTAAGCTTTGGGACCAGTTAAAGCCTAGATAATTAGAGAGTCTACCCTAGAGGCCTCCTGGGCCCAGCCTGCTCCCAGATACAGGAGTCCCCTTTGGCTTGTACTAGGGCCTAGCCTGCTCTCAAGAACCCGGCACAGTGAAGAGTGGACAGAAGAAAGTTAATAGAGGATAAATGTGCATTAATTTTTTTCAACGAATACAAATTTGACGTTGATACTATGCATCAAAAATAAAGTATTGATGAATCATTTTTGTTTTATTAGCTGCTTTTGTCCTTGGAAGGAAACCTGTGTTTGGAGGGGCAGGGTAAAAAAAGTACCCTGTATGGGTTATTTCTTCTGTGTTTTATATATAATTTTTTCAATTAGAAAATCTGTAGAATCTGCTTGCCTGTCATTTATACAAAATTCTATTTGTTGAATATAAATATGTATGGTATTAACTGAATACTAAATACTTAATGCAGTAACTGCTTATAATTCCTTCTGGTACAGAGATGACAAACTTGCATGGATTCTTTATCCATGGGGAGGAAAAGGAGTTTTGAAGAATGATTCTTGAGAAATGTGCTACGTACTGTTGTATCGCATGATATATTTCATGGACGCCATATCAGTCACTTTCCCTTGGTCACGCCGGAAGATTTTGGCTCGTGGAGCCAGATCGTAAGAGTAGTCCAAACCCAGCTTCTCAACCAGCATTGGGTAGCCACTCCAGTTGTAGATTTTTTCATGGAAAGGAATGTTGTAGGAGGGCCAATATCCTGATTTGGAATGGAAGGGAAGGAAGGGTGGGATTGACGGGGAGAGAGACAGGAAAAAAGAGAGAGGGAATGAAAGAAATGTTATTAATGACAGTTTCTTTTGAAAATTGGCACAGGTGTGTCATTACAAAATGATATTATATAGAAAATAAAGCTTTGAATGTGAACCGTGGCAGTCAAACCCATCCATTTACATCTACAGAATCGGTATACCTCTAGATCATTCTATTAGGGGAAGAAGAGCATCTGAATTCTTTGGTTTTCACCCAAAATTCTTAAAGCAATCCATTAGCCAAAAAATAACCTTATTATCTATAAAGAAAAATGAAGAATAACACAAAGTGTTCTGGGGAACTCATTGAAGTGGACTTGCTTACTGAAATGCCAAAAGATGGCTTCCCAGTGTGGCCCTAACAGGGACTATGCCAGGTGCTAATCATGGGAGAGTGGAAGAACACAGTACCGGGAACCAGAAAACCTGACTTCTAGGCTCAGGGCTGAATAAGTAGGTCTTAGGCAGTTAATCTCTCTCTCTTTTTTTCTTTTTTCAGCAAGGGAAGGGAAGGGGAGAGTCCCTAATGGGAAGGGATTAGAGACAAACTTTAAGGTTGCAGCAGGCTTTTAACTCCTTTGACTCTAAGCATTCATAACGGCTCAGCTTCACTCAAAGCTTCATAGTGGCCAAGGCCACAGAGCCCATTAGTCACTAAGCATCAAACATGTGACACAGCTCTAGCAAAATCAACATTTCAGGAACACCCCAGATTACAGTGACCTGAGTTACTGCCTTTGGACAGTCAGTCAACACAGGGACATCTCCACCACTCAGGGGCTGATTTCTACCCCCATACTCTCTTGGCCCTTGTCTGCCTTTCTCCCTTTTTACTGTTTTATAAGATCCCCTAATCAGGAGTGAGGTTATTGAGACAGAACAAATGACAAGATGTTCAACCTTGCTAATTCTGGAACACAGAGCCAGCATCAGGAAGAACTGAGATAAAGACACATTGAAATTACAGACTAAAATCACATTTATTGCTACAATATATCTAGGCTACATAGACTTGGGAGTTAGACTGCCTGGTTCTACCATTTTTAGGTAAGTGACCTCAGAGAAATTACTTAACCTCTCTGTGCCTCAGTTTTTTCATCTATAAAAGGTGAACAATGATTGCACTTACCTTATAAGGATTGTTATGAGCATTAAATGAGTTCAAACAGATGGAGTGCTTACAACAGAATCTAATACTTGGTAAGCATTAGATAACTATTAACTGTTATAATTACTATATTTCTCTTTATGTGAACAGCTTGAATGAATAATAAAAATGGCTGCTTTATACAAGTTCACATTTTCATAAATCTTCATGATTTACAAAAGCATTTAAAATAGAGTATCTTGGGGGCTGGCCCTGTGGCTTAGCGGTTGGGTGCGCGTGCTCTGCTGCTGGCGGCCCAGGTTCGGATCCCGGGCGCACACCGATGCACCGCTTCTCCAGCCATGCTGAGGCCGCGTTCCACATACATCAACTAAGAAGGACGTGCAGCTGTGACATGCAACTATCTACTGGGGCTTTGGGGGAAAAAATAAATAAATCAAAATTAAAATAGAGTATCTTGTATAATCTCACAACAACCTGATGACATATAAGTATTACTATCTCTCCTTATAAAGGAAGAAACAGAGGTTCAGAGAGGTCAAATGCCTTCCTTCTGACTAAAAACACCAAAGGCTTCTATCAACATACCACAGCTGCTTCCAAATGCTAGGAGGTTTGTGGGACTTTTTTTTTAATGGCTACATGATATCACAATTTTGGGGGCAAATCACATGTTTCTTTCTGAGCCTTTCTTTCCTTACTGTAAAATGGTAACAATACTACTTATTTGGAAGTATGTTATGAAGATCAAACAAGAGAACATGAATAAAAAGCCCAGAAGTGGCTCAATACAGTAAACAGTGAATTTTAACACTCTGTTCTTCTCTCCTCTGGCAAAAAAACTACAGACAGATCAGCGTCAGCTTTTTTAAATCTCAAGGTAGTTTTCTTTATGGGATATAGAAATGGGATTGCAAAGATTCTGATTCTACCATTCTATAATCAGCAGCAGTCAAAAGAAGAACAGGCCTCCTCTGCTTTGAATTGCCATGCTAACCAAGTAACCACCCAGTGATGTGACTTCTCGGGTGGATTTTCCTACAAGAAGGGAGGTGGGTCCTCTTCTTGGTAGTATCTAATCTGCCTGGCAATTGAAGTTTCCACCGTAATTAATTCTGTGCTGTGCATATTATGTGCATTTAGTTGGTGTGAGCCATTCCTGCTGAGCTGGCTCACTCTGGGTGTCATTACAAAATCGACCTGGGAAACTGAGGACCAGGCCCTTATCTTGGCTCTGTCCCTACTTGTCTATGAGCTGCTCTATTGCAATGGTTTCCTAACTAGTCTCCCGTCTTCTCTCTGACCTCCACTCTATTCTCCCTTTTTAAGAACCCCCAGTTTCTAAAGGATACAGGTGAAACTGCTTAGCAGGATATGCAAGGCTGATATTTTTCCCTCACTACCTACCTTCCACTTCACAGACTTTCCTCTAGCTGTCTTGAGCTAATATTTTCTCAATCACACCACAGTTTGCATGCCTCCATTTGTTCGACCTTGTCTCCTTGTCAAACTGGTGAGCCTTTTTAGCCTTTAAACCTCCACTCAGATGTCATCTTCACCTTCATTTATTCAACAAATATTCAGTGACGACTTACTGTGTGTGCCGATCACTACGGTCGATGCAAGATAATAGTGCTCAAGACTTTCTAGAATTATCTCAATTAATTCTCATGACAACCCTGTGAAATTTTAAAGGTCCACACTCCAACATCCAAAAGCTCTTAGTGGCCAGATGTGTTTCAGAATTCAGGATTTTTCAAATTTTAGAACAGCAATAGAGTGCGTATATTATATATGACATTGCAGTCTCTGTGGGGAGCACCTCATAATCAAACATATTTATATTTCTGTAGCCTAATGTATAGTCTCTCTAGAGGAGAGCAAATAAAGACTATAAATGGACAGTTCAAGATAGTTTTTGCTACCAAATGAGTTCAGATAAGGTCATGTTTTGTTACCAAGTGAGCTAGGACAAAGCAAACAAACAAAAAACTTTTAGTTTTAGAGTTTTGCTTTGTTTTGTTTGCGAGGGAGATCAGCCCTGAGCTAACATCTGATGCCAATCCTCCTCTTTTTGCTGAGGAAGACTGGCCCTGGGCTACCATCTGTGTCCATCTTCCTCTACTTTATAAGGGACGCCGCCACAGCATGGCTTGACAAGCAGTGCGTCGGTGCGCGCCCGGGATCCGAACCTGTGAACCCCGGGCCGCCACAGCGGAGCGCGCGCACTTAACCGCTTGCGCCACCGGGCTGGCCCCAGTTTTAGAGTTTTGAGATTTCAAAATTACAAATAAGTGGCTGTGGACCTGTAACATTACTGTTGTGTTTTATAGATGAAGAAAGTAAGGCTTGGAGAGAGTGGATAATTTGCCCGAGATTGTGAGCAACAGATATTCAAATCAAGGCAGTGCGGCTCCAAAACCTGGGCTTCCAATGTCTGGGCTATGTTCTCATCATCCAGAACCGCCTTCTCTGATCTCTCCCACTGACATCTGGGCTCTCTTTAGTGTCACACTGGGACACTCTTGGGACTCCAGAACTTATCCCCACTCTTCACTTTCTGGCTTCTAATGGCTGCACCTGTGCCTTGCTTCCCTACTAGACTGAGTTCCTAAAGGTCAGGACTTTTGTAACTGCGTCGTGCTTTTCCAGTCCCCAGGCCAGAGTTGCAATCCCATAAATATTTGCTGAATTGAACTAAAAGCTTTACTTGGGAACCCAGGAGAGAAGGTAATATTAGAGCCATGAGAAGTCATAAGATGGTGAATGCCTGGCTTTGTCCAATCTACACACTGTCACAGAAGAGTCTGAGGTGCATGTTTTACATGTTGTGTTGAACCTGGTAATTCTTTCCCAGCGTAACTAGCAATGGTAACCCCATCCTTTCTTCCCCACCTATACTCCCCCATCATACATTCACACACCACACGTTCCCCACCATATGCGCACGCGCACACGCACACGTACTCCTCAGACTTCTAGCATGAAGAAAGTACCTTTCCGTAGAACATCAGTCTGTTCAGAATATTCTACATATGTAGGAATTTGCTCCACAATGTACAGAGTGCCTTTTTCAAGGCTGTAATTCAGTTTTACCTTCTTCAGGTCCAAGACCATGTACTGATTGTTATAGGTGCCTGAAATATTGGGAGACGTGAGCAGCGCATGAGTATTACTGGTTAACTTGAACTCTAAATATGTGTACATGCTTAAAAGTTATTCTGCAGGGCCACTTACCAGAGTTATATTTTGAAAAGATCTCTGCCCACTGTTTGCCATCATTTGCCATCATATTGGCCACACGGACTCTTTGCCAGGCTAGGAGAGACTGGGGTACCACCAGCTTCAGCAGGGTTTTATTATACACGCTATTTGTGGTCTGCAGCAGTATCAAACCACTGCTAAGAATGTAAAAGTCATCCAGAGACTCCAAAAACCCTACAGGGAAGACAAATACACAAATCAGCATTTGTATACACGGAATACTGAACCATCGTTATTAGCACAGAGCTTTACATCACAATGCATTTTGCCAAGACTATCAGTTATTATTGTTCTTGATCTGCAGTAGCCGCTCCCAGCTTTGGCTCACCTTTGTGACAATTACTCAACTGCTGCTTATAAAGGTGCTGGTGGTCCTCCACCCCTGGATTCTCCATTGAAATTTTTTCATTTTATGATTTGGGATGACAAAATTATATTAAATCAGGACTATTCCAATTTTCCAAAATGAGGAACAGAAATTAATCCCCACTTGCTAGAATTCTGCAGAACTTTAAATGAGGGAGGGATATTAGCAGGATTCAGTGTTGGATAGTAAGAATATAGATGCCTTCTTCCTTCTCTTTCTACTTGTCTTTATTTTACAAATTTTACATAATGAGTTTACATGATTTTTATAAATAGAAACAACAACTACATTTATAAAAGTGAACATGGTTTTGAAACTAGGATATTGACACTCTGGGTCAATGCTTTTTATAAATGTTGGGAAATCACAGGATTTTCACAGGTAAATCAGTGAAGCCACAAGTCTTTTTTAAAGGTCTATTTCGTGCTTTATGCTGTGATGAGTGTTGTAGAGATCAAGGAGTATCAGACACGGCTGTTACATTGAGAAGATGCATTGTCATTGGTAACTAACAGCGACAGAGTGGCAGTGCTAAAGAACCATCAGGGACCCCAGGGAGAGAGTGAGAAGGGACCAGAGTGATGAGCTCCTCTGGCGCTTTGCAAACCTTCACCATTTTTATACCGCTTAATCATTTTGCCATATCTGATTACTACTTGTACTATTATTTACTTACTATTTTTCATTGAATTAACTCTTTCTTCAAACTTAAAATACTTAGCCTTGTCACACACAATAAAACCCAAAGAATCATGAGTTTAATGTTTTGGCATTTTTTTCCCCCAAAAAACATATTAAAACAAATATATTTCTACTAACATGCAAAAAATACTTATCCACGAACCACCTAATATCATCTCATCAGCACCATGCATGTCACGCATTGAACGACACCAATGTAATCCTCTGCATGATTAAGAAGAACAAGATGAGGCTCAGAAAGGTGAGGGCATCTATCTGAGATCATACAGCCAGCTCCTGGCAGACCTGGGCCTAGAATGCAGGTCCTTAATCCAGTTCACTTTCCACACTTCCCACTAAGTCTTACCAACTATGCTCAGCCTTCATGGCACTCCCTCTTCTAGCTTAATGAAGCCTGGAGAAGGAGGGCTTCATGGAGGAAGTGGAACTAGAACTGAGTCTTGAAGCTTGTAAAAGCATTGACCAGGCAGAGAGCAGTGAGCATTAAAGGTAGGAACAATAGTATGAACAAAGGTATACAGCAAGAATGGATGTGGCATAGGAGAGTAGAAGATTTGGGAGGTGGGGGCAAATAAACTTTAGAAAATACAGTTGGATAGTCATTCACTCATTCACTCAACAAACAAGCTATTGTGCATCCACTCTAGGTCTGGTAGGGATTGGTAATGTGGGGTCAAATAAAGGCATCATCTGAAGCTAAAGATAAGACTTCAGAGCATGCAGGGGAAATCAGAAGGCCTGCATTTTAGTTCCCTGCATTGCCACTAACAAATCTGCCAATTCTCATTTGCCTTTCTGTTTCTTATTCCCTTCCTCTGCTAACCTGGGACTAAGTGACGTCATTCAGCTCTAACAGTCTAATTTTAATTTCTGGAAATTTCTGAGTAGGAAAGTTACATGATGAGAGCAGTGTTCAACTAACTCATAATGAGCCTCCACAAAGCTGTCATTAGCCTATACAGAGGTTTGTGTAAATGACAGAAGGTTGCACACTCCAGGTGGTCCAAAGCTTGATGAGTGGATGGCATCTTTGAATGAAATTTTAACCGGTAACCCTTCTGTGAAGATACAGCCTGAACATCAGATGCATGGCTTGTCAAGCAAAGTGTGGGATGGATTTCAATGACCATTCATTCACCTCTTGGGCTGGGGTCATTTCACAGTGTTCAAACTGTACAACCATACATGGCAGCCTTGAGCAAGCTCTCTAGTAGAAAATCCCCGTGGGGGAAATTCCCCATGGTGGAATGCTGTATTTCTGGCATGATAAACTTGCTAATTCACTCTTTATTGTAGCAACCTCTATGGACACAAGAGGGCAGGCGTTCTTTAATATGTGTGAGTGAGTGAATAATGCTAACACGTAAGAAGTAGTCTTTCATTCAAGGGCAAGACTGTTTGTTAAAGATGGAAAAATGTAGGCCACCCCTAGTTCTGGAACAAAGAGGAAATACTGGCTTGCAAAAACTCTAGTCAAGGAGGTTAATTCTATAGTTTAGAGTTGAAGATTAAAAAAAAAAAATGAAAAAGCCCAGAGAGGGGACAAAGTTCTGAAACATTGCATTATAAGAGAAGTAAATGTTCTTTGACTATGTAAAATTATATTCTTGCTCTAATCTGTCATTAGCAGCTTTGGAAAGCAGACTATTTTAGGTTAGGAGAAAGTGAAACACTCCAATATGAAAGCCAGCCTGCAAAGAACATTTCAGAGTAAGCTTCTTGCTGAATTCAATGAAGAAACAAAAGGTAACCATTACAGCTAATAAACTGTATTTCAAGACTGAAAAGAAAACACTTGAATCACAAAAATAAACGGTGATCACTACCTTCTGATGCCATTTACACCTACTGCTTAGTAAAACCTAGAAAGTTTACCCTTGTTTATTTGCATATTGCATGCATTAGCTGCTCCAAAGTGCCAAAGACCAAACACGCTCCTTCCTTCCAAAAGAGTAGAATCAGCATTGACCAAGGACATAAATAACGTACAACTCAGGGTTGGTAGTATGGGTCATGATTGTAAAAATAGCTGTGCTGCATTTCTTCACTCCACCCCCATCCATCTTCTCTGCAACGTGACTTTGCAGCATCTCCCATCAAGAGGTGTCATCTCTTTCCCCATCTTTTAAATCTGGACTGAATTTGGAACTTGCTTCAGTTAACAGAATGTGCCAGTTCTGAGTCTAGGCCTCAAGAGATCTTGTGCACTTCTGCTCACTCTCTGTAACCCTGTTACTGCCTTGGAAACAAGCCCAGTGTAGGCTGGTCTCTAGGATGAGAGACCACATGGAGGAGAACCAATCATCTCAGCCAATGCCAGCCTCAAGCTGGTCAACTCCCAAATGTGCAAGAGTGATCATCCGAGGTCAGCAGAGCTGCCCGCCCAACCCACAGCCAACCACAGATGCATGAATGTGCCAGCTGAGATCTCTGGAAAGAACCACTTAGCTGACCTGTGGACTCCAAAGCAATAATAATCACATATTGTTCCCAGCCACAAAGTTTTGGAGGTTATTTTTTTTTTTTCCTTTGTGAGGAAGACTTGCCCTGAGCTAACATCCACGCCAATCCTCCTCTTTATGCTGAGGAAGACTGGCCCTGGGCTAACATCCGTGCCCATCTTCCTCTACTTTACATGGGATGCCGCCACACCATGGCTTGGCAAGCGGTGCGTCAGTGTGAGCCCCGGATCCGAACCCGTGAACCCCAGGCTGCCAAAGCGGAGCATGCGAACTTAACCTCTGCACCACTGAGCCGGCCCCCTGGAGGTTATTTTTTTATACAGCAATAGCTAACATACAATAGTAGTAATCCAATTATACAACATGTTTTGTTTTGAAATGTCTTGCTGCTTTTGATTTTAACACGGATGGATGTGACACATTAGGAACTCCCTTTTCTTTTCTTTCCTTTTTTTATAAAAGAAAAAACAAAGTAACAACTTTGCACCATACTTAGCCTTTCTGCTCAGCTTCTTCCCACTGCTGAAGAGGGACATCATTTCTCAAACCTGTGGAAAGCACCACCTGTGCAGGGCTAATTTCTCTAAGCCACTCAATCAATGTTTATTAAACACCTACTGTATCCCAAGCACTGTGCAATGGCTCCCAGCCCAGAGACTGTATCAGAATTCCCTCAGGAGCTTTTTCAAAAGGCACATGCCCAGGCTGCCCTCCCTCCCCACCTCTGCTCCCCTCTGAGTTTCCACCAGGACCCCTGCTCTAAGGTTGCTGTCTGCAGCAGGAGAATCTTCTGCTTCTTCAATCTGGGAAAAGGAAGCCTGTGGGTTCCCCACTATCCCAGGACACAAAACTCTACAGACATTTATTTTGCCTACTCCACAATGGACTCAGTCTTCCCATCTTCCAGAATGGCATTTATTTGTGTCTCTTCCTGCCAAGATTCTAACTGGTACCAATCAACCTCCACTCCTTCTTCCAGTGATTATTCTTCAGTCAAGTAAGGATTTATCGAGGACATTGCTGCCTAATTCTACAGTAGGAATGTGATCAGTGGAGGATTCATGCTTTATGTATTCAAGTACATGAAGCCCGTACTGTGGAGTCTGAATATCCTGCAGTGGTTCACATAAAGGATTTAGCAGGTCTCTTAAAGTTTATATAGAGTAAATATAAAGAAGGTAGGTTTATATTTAACCAACATTCTGTTGTCATCCACGTGAAAATGAAATTTGTTTTTCTACAATAATAAATTATCTTACTGACTTTTTATTATTTGTTTACTGTTTTATTGTTTTTCTCTCTATCCCATAGCACGTAAGCTTCATCAGGGCAGAGACTTTTTCTGTCTTGTTCACTCCAGCACCAAGAAAAGGATTTGACACACAGTAGGTGTGCAATAAACAGTTGTTAAATCTCAGGAAGAAAGAGAGGACAGTGGTGACTAACATTTACTGTGCACCTACCAAACACCAGACACCTTGCTTTAGAAGGATGGATACATCATTTGATCTTCACAAAAAGAGCACTTAGATGAGCTATTTTTTAAATACTTTGCTCTTTAAAGCTAACAAATAGCATTGTCAGAAATAAATCTAAGATGAAATCTCAACACACGCCTTTTCCACTATACCATATGCCTGACA